CTAACTAATCATAATGGTTATTTTAATTTAACAAAAAATACATTACATTGGTGGATGTCTAATATAATTTTATTTATTTAAATTTTAGTAAAATATTTTAAATTACAAACAAATTTGAATATATAAGTTATATTTTTTCTCCATAGATGGCTCTTATTTATTGGAAAATAGAAAATATTTCGTTATTTCTCTTGATGTAATTTTTTTTATAAAAATTAATTTTAAGATATTATTTTTAACTATGACGGAAATAGTGAAAATAAAATGTAACAATTTAATATAAAAAAAATGTTTATTACAATAATTATATAATATATAAAGTAATATAAATTTTTAAACTAGTTTAAATTATTAAATAAATGTATACTTTTATAAATTATAAGTAATTTTCTGTAATTTTGTTCCTTTATATATATTGAAATAGTTAATAAATCATTTTAAGTATTGCAAAATTAGCAAACTCTCACCAATTATAATATTCAGGATATTCAAAAACAAATAACATTTTAAAAAATCCATCTCAAGTATCTAAAAAAAAAACGTTTGATTATAAATTGATAAGGTCCTGTGCAAGGATCATGTATGGTTATTTCTTGTAATACATATATGTACAGTTATAGATTGTGTAACATTAGATATCAATGTATACGTGTTAAGTTATGCAATAAAAGGAGGAAGTTTGCTGAATCTAAAATTAAAATATGTGGAAATGTGTCTATTCTTGCTGGCCAACACGATAGATTGCTGGTACCTGTTTTACCGACGTCTGACAGTTTGCAGTGTCAGTTTTCGAAAAATTTTGGTTACTAAACCGTGACCGCAACATAGGATTCCGTGTATTCCGTTAGGGGAACGAAAGGAAATAAAAGTGGTGTCGAGGAGAATGGAATTAATTAGATTCGCGAGGCGAGCGTAGCGCAATACTTGGCGATTAAAAATAACGGACGGTAGGTTAACAATCCTTCGAATCTCCCCCCAATGACTTTTACTTTCAGTCAACAATACAACTTTTTTTAATAAACAATAATATATACTTGTTGTAGGTTAGTTTCACCCAGAGGTAACTCGTTCAAATTCTTTTGTTTTCTACGATAATACGTGTGCTGCCCATATGCATTGTCTTGGGCTGTGATATTGGGATATTTTTGGTGCACATTCTTCAGATTCACTAAGCCAGTATGGGTTTAATCATAGCCAAATTTAGGGTAAGTCTTTTTTGCATACATGGCATTTATCTCCATCAAAATAGATAATGAATTAACATAAACTTCTTTTTATATTCTTTCCTACAGGTTGAAATAATTCATACTTATTCATTGGCTATATTTAGATGCTTTTTTCATTGTGTATCTCAAATTAGCATATGCTATTGCAAGCAAAAGTTATGCTAATTCAAAGAATCCAATGCAGCAAATATTCTTTAAAAAAATATTATTATAGTATTATTCCTGCATTTACCATATAATGAAATTAAACTTAATTAAATATATGCCAGTCCTTAATTATTTTCACTTTTCCAACACATTATATTTGCAACTTGATTTGAAAGCTGTTCTAATAAATAGTTATAAAATTAACTTAAAAAAAAAATATTTTTGTTTATAATGAATATTTCTGTTTAGAAAAAGAAAACCAGCATTGAGATTTTGGAAAATTTAGATAAAGAAATTAAATCAATTGAGGATTTCCGAAGGAACACTCTGGAAAGGCACAAAAAGATTGTTGGTCATTTCTTGATATTTTCAATTGGAGTCTATGTGGTTTCATGTTTCCTATTTTACTTCTATTTCTATTCACCAAACATCAAAGAGAGAATTTTCTATTTTTTACCACTTTTAGTGGCTCCAGTCTTGTAAGTATGAATTCAGTCTTATAAGATTTACATTCATTTAGTATGTTTCCAGTATTTTTTCATTGAAGAGGCTATTAACTTGGTACTACAATCGTAAAATATCGAAAAAGGAAGTGAAATTGGTGAGCTTGAAAAATGATAAAAAGAAACTATTGGATACGGTGATGGAGACGGAAACGTACAAGGTGGCGCGAACTATATTGGAAAAGTATGCACCTGAACAAGTCCGTAAAGTTAATCTTGCATCGAGCGAAATGACGCCAATTGTCGCACGTTCGCCAGCATTGGGAATGCAAAGTGGTAATAAACTAGAGTATGCTTTATTGTTAATATATTATTTGAACAATTTGGATTTCAAGGTTTAAGGAATCGTTCTATGCCAAATAGATCAGCACCAATGATGAGACAATCTATCGGATTTCCGCAAACCCCGTCAAGACCAATTTATGGCGATCTAGCGAAACAAAGAAATAACGCGGTCTTAGCATCAGCGGACACCAGCCAAGTCATGTCAGCAAATAGTAGTCAAATAGTTCCGGTTGTGCCCATGCCTCGAGCTATTTTGCCGAAGGATAGATCAGTTTTGCAGAAAATGGTTGAATATCTTGTGGGTGATGGTCCTTACAACCGATACGCTCTAATTTGTAAAGAGTGTTACGGTCACAACGGTAATTCAAGCTAATTTGCAAAATTATTTAATTATTGATTTCATATATTATTGTATTCTCTAGGTATGGCTCTTCAAGAGGAATACGAGTATATGTCTTACAAATGTTGCTACTGTCAAGTATTGAATCCGGCTAGAAAAAAGAAACCGGCCGCTCCGAAATTAGGGTTTGATGTTCCTCCGACAAGCTCCGGTCTAGATGATGACACCTCCGAGTCCGAGAAAAATTCCGTAAGCGATTCGGATAGTGAAGGAACGAAGAAACCGGATGCCGAAACTTTATCCGATAATAATAAAGAGAAATCCTCGGATAATGAACAGCCTAGCGATTTCGATAAGCTCTCTGATTTGGATACGAAGAACTCTGACGGTGAGCAGGTTGAGGTCCAAGAGGAGCCGAAGAAGGAGGAATAACGTCAATTTATAAAAGAAACAAACATGAGAAACATTTAAAAGACTGATCCTTTTTGTCGTTTGTAACAAGTCTATATAGGTCTTCAAATTTCTACTAATTTTTTGTCTTGAACGTACGTACGTAGTAAATATGAACTATAAGTGCCAAAAACAAAGAAAGGAAATGTTTCAAACTGAAAAATTATATATTGTTGTTGAAATTTTGTTCAGAATCCGTAAGGTTCAAATAATTTATTGGAAAGTTATTCATTAGACGATTGTTATAAATGCTGTTACTTTTTTACGTAATCTAGAGTTAGTTTAATTTATTACTACCTATTTATTTCATGCTATGTTCACGGTATATATTAGGCAGTGCCATTTAGGATTTGGTTCTCGTTTGTGGCATCAGATATTAATGCGATAATATCATCTTGTCTACAAGGATGAGCCACACAGTTATTCGATAAACCACCCACACGAGGTGGTCCGTAAATTGAATTAGTTGCAGTGCATTTTATGTTCATCTCATAATGTGTTTCTTAGCATATTTGTTTTTATTTTAGAGCTTGGAATGGCATTGTTGGAATGTTTATTGCAACACTCGCTTTTTTATCCTTCCCATCTTTATTTTCATTATATTGAATATATTTAAACACCAGCGCTTCTCCTTTGGTACATGGAATGTCAATTTCGGATTGTTGAATCGTAATAGAGGTGCCTTTATAAAAACAATTTATGCGAATAAATGCTTACTGGAGTTTGTATAATTGTAATTTTATCTCTATACAATAAAATATATATGCAATGTTTCCGTATGTTTTTATAAATTTACTATAAACAAATAATATTTGATTAATGTTTAGTAATCAAATTTCTTCGAAATGCAAGATGTTTGATTTTCAAATAATCTCGTTCCAGAATTAAAGGAATCTGTAAACGAGTTTGAAACACGGATTTGTTTATATGTATGCAAAAGTGACAGCTGGAAGTGGGATTTAACATTTAATCTAAGTAATAGTATAAAAAAAATAGTACAAAAAGAAAGGACATTAGAATAATCTCAAATGAGGTAAAGAAGCAGAGAAATTGTAAGTTTTATCAGTAGTTTGATTTGATTTTGTTTTGTGTAGTGAAGAATTCAGCCCAGGTTCAGAGAAAATGGATATATCAGAAGCATCTGATGGTTCATTTCCTCAGTATTCAGTTGAAAGCACTGAGCCAGTGCTGAGATTATCAGAGCCTTTAACTATAGACAATGATAATGAAAGACTTGATAATAGTAAGCAATATGAGGAATCAAGTACAATACGTACCAATAAAAACACATCCCTTACAAAAAATGCAACCAACTCTCATCCCCTTATGTACACCTCACCAAGAAGCCCCATGTCACCTGACTTTCCAGACCTGATTCCGGAGAAACCCAAAAGTCGGGTTCTGGCTTATGAAAGGTACAATTTTCATCCAGTAGCTCATAGTTCTGGACACTTGGAGTCCAGTCAAGAATCTCAGGATATACAGTTTGATCATTTAAATTTAGAGTCCCCTAAGCTTGAAGATTATACTGGAAGTTTACCAGGTAACTGTTTTGCTTTTAATGTATGAATAGTCCTTAATAATTAGATTTTCCAGAGAGCCCAACAGCTTTAAAAAAATCTTTGCAGTATGAAATGCCACAAGAATTATCACAAGCTGATTTAAGTGACAATGAGAATGATAAATCAATTTATGAGGCACATCTGAGTTCTAATCTGCAGAATGTTTCATTGACCATGAATGAAAAAGAAGGTAGAACTATAGAAATATATAGACAAGTTATTTTATTTACTTTTTTTTAAGGAAATTTAAATTTCTTGGCTCATGGTAAGCAAAGTAATAAATTGAGACGAATCAAAGTAGTACCAACGGAATTAGATATTGATAGCGACTTGTCCAGTTTGGGCAGTTCTCCGGATTCTCTAAAGTCTGAAGATGTCTTTAAAAATTTCCAAAATCGTGATGAACAAGTTGAGGCGGACTTGAGCCAATCGCGCAACGAATCTCCCGAGCCAATAGAACCATTAAGTGCCGATGATGAACGAAGACATGCGAGATTCTGGCAACGAATGGTTTTGCCAGGTGGCGAACAACGAACTATCGATATGAGAGTCATAGAGCCTTACAAGAGAGTTCTTTCACATGGAGGCTATCTCAGGGCTGGCGGTCATACTGCCATTGTAATATTCTCCGCTTGCTTCTTACCAGATAAATCCAGATGTGATTATGACTATGTTATGGACAATCTATTTTTGTAAACTTTAATTAATCTTTTGTTTTGTTTGAATCGAGAGTTAACGCATTTTACTTTAAGGTATGTGTTATGGACTTTGGAACGATTGGTAACGGAAGACTACGTGCTGGTATATTTGCACGGAGGTGGATCACGACTTCCTTCGTTCAAGTGGATTAAAAGATGCTACCAAATGGTGGGACGAAAGTTGAGGAAAAACGTGAGCCATTTGTATATAGTCCATCCAACATTATTGATTAAAACCATGTTTTATATGGCAAAACCGTTCGTAAGGTTAGTTTGCATTATATTTATACAACTTACCGCTATATCAAAAGTACGTCGTCTTTCAGTGCAAAGTTCTATCGGAAAATTTCGTTTATTGCCAGTTTGAAGGAACTTAAAGACAGTGTGCCTATCGAGTTGGCTGCAATTCCAGATAAAGTCAAAGCTTATGATGATCTCCATTGCCACTGAGGGTGAAACATAAGCATATTTTACATTTCAAACATTCCTACTAAGTAAACGAAGATAGCAAAACAGAAGTTACTTGAACCATGAAAAGAAGAAAACGAACCAATTCATTTTAATGATTTATTTCTTTTTACATATAAGTATTTTCCTTTTTCTTTTGTTGATGTGCTGAGATTTTATTGAACATATCAATATCCGTTATATTTATTTTTTTTTCTTTTAGTATAATTTATTTGTGTTTTTAATACTGAAAAGAACATACAACATTGACAACTGATTTTAATTCTTTGTCGGTAGTGATTTATTGTTATTTGCATTTAATTTTTGTGTAGGAAACTTAATTGTTTTGGCTCTCTATTTTGGTAATTCAAAACAATCGTAACTTAGTATACGTATAAGTTATTTATATTATTTTCACTCGCAGTTCATTTTTAGTGTAATTGTCCCAAGGTTTATAAATCAGCTGTGAGTGAACAACAATATGTCTACTTGAATTACCAGTACTTAATTTGCGCTGTCCAAAGTATTGTCGTTTCAGTATTTTTTTTTCTTATTCATAATTTATTTTAAAATCTGTGATCTATATATTCACGTCCTGAGTAAAATATACAAATTCTATGCAAATGATTAAACAGATTGATGAAAAAAGTACATATATAGATTTATAGTATGGAGTAGAATATTTTTTTAATATAATAACTCGTATATTATATGTATTTTCTAAAAATTTCCGTTCATATCGTTTTTTTTTTGTTAATTATTATTATTTATGAACCAACATTGCCTTTCCTCTTTCTATACATATTCAGTTTTTGTTATTAAGAAACAAAACTGCACTGGACAAATAACAAAATTCAAATAAAAAGCTTTAAAATTGTAAATAATAATGATTGATAGTTAAAAAAAAATATAATTACGATCTGTAAATATGTTCAATTACATTGTGGACATGAACAAAGGCTATAGTGGATTTTAGATCTGAAACGAGTGAAAACATTCAATGTTTTTTCTTCGTTCTCTTCATTTTCATTAATACCCGGACACATCGAATATAATTTGTATATTTGTAAAATGAAGATGCATGAGTGTTGTGATTTATCTTTTTTTATTGTATTTTCCTATTTATTGTTCTATGTTTATAACTTTTTGTAATTCAATACAGTATTGCCACAGTTATTTTCTGTACAAGGGAAAAGAGTAATGATTGGTAGTAATTTGCTTAGGCAATATTCTTTGGTAGATGTCGCTTGTATTTGGTGGGACCGTGTTACGAAAAATTAAATTAAATTTGGGATGGAATATTACGTAAAAAAAACAAACATCGAAGCGTTTCATTTTATTTATCCAGATTCCATAATTTCTGCACCGCCTAATAATTCCAATACGATTTCCTACCGTTTTGTTTTGCATTCGAAACAATTGTTACGTAAAGCAATGAGTCGCAATTGCAAAACAATAACACTGCAGTTGCATTCGTTGTGAAATTGAAAATTATGTCATAATTTTGAGTAATGGATTTATTGCTGACCACATTTTAAATTCATACATTAGATCACGACAGCTTAAGTAACTAATGCAAGTGACTTGAGAAATAATATTTTTGAATAAAATTTGCTTGATATACTTTCATTGAAATTTCATTTCGTCTTAAATTGCATTCAATAACATTCAGACTTGTTTCTCTTTAACAAAAATAATTTTCTTAAACTAATAAATTTATTTATACACCTGTTATTTCACAGATGTTTTATATTATCTAGAAAAACTTGTTAAGCTATTATATGTCTATAGTTATTAAATGTAGAATCGATTTGTATGTTATTTTTTGTTAAATCTGACATTAATTGTTGTTGTATTTGTTGTTAAATATGTAGAAATAATGGAGGTTGATTATGGCTTAATTTGTGGGTAAGATTTTATTAATAAAATTATCTTAAGTTTGATTTTGTAATTTCTTTTTAGAAATTGGTTTAATTTCTTAGTAAGATTTTATCGAAATTTGAGATGAAAATAATCGCATTTTCTTTGTTCGTTGTTATGAATGAGAAATGTGATGAGTGCATGTCGATTGATTTGATAAGCATGTTTGAGTTGAATGAATTAGTAATTGAATTTTACTCAAAGTTGCGATAATGCGTATTTTTCTTTGAATTTAATTTAGTATTAATTTGGGAAAAAGGCACGTGTTTCCGGTGATCAACCAATGGAAGAACGAAGATGAAGCTCTTTCTATTGGTTTAATTAAAGTTTGGCTCCGCCCTCGGTTCAGGCGAAAGATGTTAATTGATGAGCGATAAATGAGTCATTATCGTTGATGCGCTTTCTGCAACAGCCCCATACAGTTGGGGCGACCTCCATGCGTGGAATTAAAGGTTAATTTAACTGATGGGCATTGATTTAGGTTTTCGGCTGTCCGGAAAGGGCGTGTGAGGGTGCCCAAATTGAGCGAGCCCACATCTATTTTAATTGGTGCTAATTGGTAGAGAAATTAAGATTGATCCTGCGAAGGAGACGCGCGCATCTCGCGCGCTTTCTCCTCCAGACAGTTACGCGTCACATTATCAGGTTGGTACCACAAGCAGGGGGTTTAGTTGTTGAATGCAGTGGCCAGTAGTACCATAGTACCGAGAGAGCGATATTGCAGTGACTCGAATATATTCTATATAGTACGGGTCAGTGAGTGACGATTTTCGAGAGGAAGGCATCGAATCGTGTCGGCGATAATTAAAAGTGTTTTTCCAGTGTTCAGGAATACAGGCAACAGGTTCCAATAGTATCCAGAATATCCCCCGGTGTCTGTTGGATATTTCCACTAATTAGTACACATCTACACGTACATATTAATATTACAATATATATATATATATTATTTTTTTTGTTGGTTTAACTTGGTTTGAATAATAAAATGAGTAAAAAGTGCGCAAGGTGTGAAAAAACGGTGTACCCGACCGAGGAGCTGAAGTGTCTGGACAAAGTAAGTTCGCCACCGGTGAAAACAGTTTCACCACATCTCGTATTCCTCTTCGTATTTTTTCTTTCTTTTTGTCTGTCCTTCTTTCCTTCGGGTGTTGCACACATGTGCAACGTTTCCACTGCATCAGAGATGTCTTGAAATGTTCTGTCCCGTGCCCTGCCCTAAACATCATTCATTAAAATCTATTAACATTCTCAAAAATGTCGGTCACCGAAAGTGACTTAATTCACTTAATGCGCACCAAGGCTCTTCCATTTAATCCACAATTCTGGTGAAACCCTCAAATCTCCTCGGAACCGCAACCAGTGCGCGGTTTCTTACTTCCCCTCGAATCACGTCACTTTAATTCTATCAACATTCAACTTAAAACCAGAAAAATACCATTTAATTGATATGCAAATGATTCACCTCTTTCTAAAGTCATTTAGATGTCCTTACAAATCAGCAAGAAATTGCCATTCGAAAAACCTTCGGTAATCACAAGATTCTGAGGCGAAAACTAATTATCACTTTAGAACAGCGTTCTTCAACCTGTTTGCACCTATTGGACCGGTGAAAGTACGAGAAATATTTTGCGGACCGGCTGAGTGCTAAGACATAAATAAAAACCAAACTTTTCGTAGACCGTTAGAAAAATCTGCGATATTTCCATTTGAATACAAGAAACTATCCATTTAGTGAACATTATTATTTTCAATTTAAAATAGAAATAAACTTGTTCATGCTACGCCAAACGTCAAATTAATTCTTATTGGTTATTCAGAATTACACAAAACAGTTGACATTGAAATATTTTCATTTGACAAATAAGTCGGTTAGGAACAGAAGCGCGGCTACTGTTATCTAAAAGTTGTAAAAATCTCAACATTATGTCAATAAGTATAGCAAACAAAGATTGTAATCATCTGTTACCAATTAATTTAGAAGCTTTTACTTTACTTAAAATGCCAACAAGGTTACAACAGAAATTTTTCCAATCATATGATCATAGCTTTAGATGACTAATTATGAATTTAAATAATATAAAAAAATGTTATTTCCTTGATTTATTTAAAAGTAATTTACGCACATCCCGTTCCTATTGTGTTGTATTATCATTGATTTACGACATATGACTTACTCATTCAATAAATACATCAAATGGAACTTTAAAAGACTAACAGCACTTACTTATAGTTTAAAAAGTTGTAAATATTTGATGTATCGTAAAACATTATGTAAATATTAAATCTCAACAGCTTTTAATGATTATTAAACTAAAAAATATATTTATTTATATCTTAATTAAGTTTGTAATTAGTTGTCTATTTGTAAGTTTACGAAACAATAATTGTTAAAATACTAGATGCTACCATTGGTTTCATTGGTTGCTAACGTATGAATCATTGGTACTGCTCCCATCTTATTAAAAATAATCACTTGTTATTCCCCAATAAGATGCAATTACATTTTACGTAATTTTGTTTGCTTCGCTTTTACGATAATGATTTCGATAAGTTAAAATTTGTGTAGACAAAAAAAAATGGAACTGTATCAAGCTTCGCGCGTTGAATCATCTCCGGATATTTATAAACTTGTTTTCCAACCAAAATATGAATTCATCCCCCACTGAGGAGACGCTCCTTTTTAAACTTACATAATTTATTACTAGTGAACTCTTTGTCTGTCCTTTTCTTCCTCAGATACAATAATAAAAATGTTCTTTTTTGGTCCTCGAAGAAAGTTATTTATAGAATTTGAATCCGTGAAAATAGAATTTATTTGTTCCTTAGTTTCCAGGGAAACGGAGTTTCAGTAGGTGTAATCTGTATTTAGGATATAAGTTTAGTACAAAAATATTTGTAATGTAATTGTTTTTATAAAATAAAATACTAAAAAACATATTTTTTTCCAAAATATTGTTTCTGGTTTGGATGGTTCACATACTTTTATCCAAGGTCTTTTGATCTCAGTAAGCTACAATAAAAAAAAGTAACAAATTGAGGTAGTAACTTAGACGGTTTGACTTTGAGGAGTTTAGTGGATTCATCATTAAAAATCTCTATTTAATCATATTGCACCTTAATGAATGGATGAAATGAACTGTTCAATTCTGAAACTGAGCAGGAAATATGCATCAATTTCAAGTAGAATTGTTCCTAGTTGTTGCACAATTACAGCATGCATCTGGGAGCGATCCAAAACGAGGCCTGCAACCGTTTCCTTTCCGCCCAGCATTGCTATTCTCATTTGTATTCTAATGCGATTGTTTTATTATTGCGTAATGGAAAATGCGAACAATAAACTTATTGTTTATTAATTAATTGAGGTATGTAAAACATTTCCGGAACAAAATTGGCTTGTGTCAAACGTGCCGGCATGTGTTCAGTGATCGATGGCTTTCTTTATTAACTCACTACGACGTTTCATTTGTAAAGATAGCGCAGCGTATTAGGAATTCGACAATCAATTTTATCGAATATCTTAATGGGACAATCGCGATATCGATCCGAAATACTATATCTATTTTGGTTGGTTTATTTAACATAATTGTTATTGATTTTGTGTTTAGTATTCTTGATTAGGTAATATAACAATAGAATGAATTATTTACTAAATATTTTATATTTGTATACATTTACAAGTATCTTATTCATTAATCTAATCCAGTGATTTTCAACCGTAATTCCAAAGCACAATAAATCTTAAGTGCACATTACTTTGAGATAAAAAAAAAGGGTTAAAAATACTGATCTAATGCACAAACTTTGTATTGTAGGGCTGTGGACTTATATCGTCGGCCTGCGGGCCATGTATGGCCTGGAGCAAATTTACACGGCCCGCGAATACGTTTCAATTTTGTATTTCTTGGAAATATGGTGCTTATAGTTTTAGAGATAAGGATTGAGCTGCCATTGAAGGAAATAGATATAGGGGATACAAATTTACCATATTAAACAAAGTCTAATGAAAAGTATTGGATTTCCAATTAAGGAACCTTTTACCCAATATCAACTTTTTTCAATATCTTCTAACATTTCTAACAAAAGATCATTCATTGTAGTCTAATAATATACAAATTGTATGGAATTTAGATATAATTTGATTTCGAATATTTTTCTAAGCACTTTGTTAGAAATTTATTGATCTTAGAAATTTTGCTAGACCTTGATGATAGCAGCTAAACGTAATACAACGTTAATTATCTAGCACTTAGTTCTGTACACATTCGATAAGAATAGGATTGTCTACTGAAGCTTAAATATCTCAAAGTCAAGTACGTCCTTTATTAGATTATCTACATTAGATTAATGAATAAGATACCACTTGTAAATGTATACAAATATACTATATTTATTCAATAAGCTCATCCCATTGTTAAATATTATCATGACGAATTTTCTCGAATTGAGTAAAATACGTTTGCTTCGCAATTCCAAACTGTAAAGTGTCATCTCGAAGTATTATTAAAGTAACGGTAGTAAATTTTTAACGTTATTACAGATATGTTAATTGCGCTGCATTTCAGATTCCAATATTATGAAACCATTACGTCTAGCGTTCTTAATTAATGAGAGTTATCTAGATTTGTCGGTTCGCTTTTAATCGCAATAGGCCATGCGACCTTAATCGATAAATGATAATCGTATTTTATTCTTTATTTTTGCAACATATTTATTTAATAATCGCATTAATTAATTGACTATTTAACTATTTTTTAATCCTAGGCAGATAACTTTCAATTCTGTTGATGTAGTGAATGAATGTAAACACTACTAATTAATGTGTAGAGAAATCAACAAAACATGTTGCCTGTTAAACTGTGTGTTATCTATTTGATATTATCCTTTTCAAAACTTATATTTTGTTGGAATTGCATTGGTTTATAAATAAAAACGTAATGTTTGCAATATATTCAACAATAACTAGTATTTCACGTTATGTGTAAGACTTGGATCTATATTTTGTCCAATTTATTTTTCATTCATATACCTTTTTAATTGGGTAATAAATGAAATTGAGTTAAATTAAATTCTGATGTCCAGATTTGAATTTTCTCTTTGGTAAATGAAATTAAGTTTAATTGAATTATCATGTCCCGGCTCCTTCATTGCATCATAAATGGATTAAACAATAACTAGTCTTTGATGTGAGTACCACTTGGATCAATACTGGGTCCATTTTCTTTAGAAATAGACTTTACTCGTTATTCTATGAATTAAATCAACTTAAATTCTTTCATTTACAATTATTCTTGGATCTTAATGGATTAAACAGTAACTGGTTTTTAATATGAGTACGTACCACTTGGATCTATTCTGGGTCCAATTTATATTTCACTATTAGATTTTTTTATTGGTTAATAAATTAAATCAAATGAAATTAAATTATGTTGTCTACATTCGTTTATGGATCTTAATGGATTAAATCATAATTAGTATGATGTGAGTACCACTTGGATCATCATTTTTTTCACAAATGGAATTTCCTTTGTCGATATAATTATACAATTACATAAATAAGTATAGACAAAAAAACATATGAATCATTATAACTGCCTACTGAAATATAGTTATACCAAAATTCTAAGAAAAAAAAATAACAACAGCGTTTGTTTCTATTTAAGGATCAAAAGTGTTGTTATGAATTTATAATTAGAAAATTCCTGAACAAAAATACATAATAGCTCAATTAAATCCGTGACTTATTTCATAATCAATGTTGTTTATTTCCTTCGTTTTGAGTAGAGTACGTTGAATTTTGATCAAGCATACTAAGTTTTTATATCAATCTTTGGAAAACTTATGCCGAGAAAATGACAATGGCAGTGATGGCAATGAATGTACGGAAAGAAATGATATTCTCAGAACGCAATTAGTATATAAAAAAAATATGATGTGTGTCTGTATGTAACCTCGGTGTATGAAAAAAAAAACTATTGTACAAAGCAGCCTTGTCGTCGTTCTATTCGGCGTGTAATAACATAATTCTTTCCTGTTCCGATAGTTTCACCTGTGGTAATTGTTTTGGATAAAGATCACGCGGGGGCGGGGAAACAGACGACCAATCGCATGACAATATATGCTAAGTGTCATTGGCACAGTAATTGACAACTTTCTAAATCTCCGATCTACATGATTACTGTTTCCTCTATTTTTGTTGTTTTGTTTTTATATGCTCGGTACAACCCGCCTAGCCTATATTAAAATCATTTATTATATTATAACTATTTACAATCTAACCCCTAGCATCTTATATACAAAAAAAGTGTATAAACTTTGATTACATTTTGAAACTGATTCTGTTGCAAATATCGAATGTTATTGATTTTCTTTTCGGTAATTTTAAATTAAAGAATTACAATTGCTTTCTAATTTTCGTAGCGGATTGCTTTTCTCTTATTCTTTTAGTTTTCAATTAAGTCTACACTTATTATGACTTTCCAAACGTTTTACAGGCACGCTCAACTATTTGCTCTTTTTTCTCTCGCGTAGTAAATATTGATTCAATTTGTTTAATTGAAAATGAAAATTGATTGAAATGTAATTTATTATTTTATGATTTACTTAATCTAAGTTACATTCTTCGTAAAGAGAAAATTCGTAAACTGCAAATTATTTTTCTATAATATCAATTAACACAGCGTTTCTAAATCAAGAATTGAAAAATTATTGTATATTTAAAGAAGGAATTTGTAATGATAAATGTAAATAGAAAAGCATTTTAGTAGAATAGAGACTATAGTAAACAGTTTGAAATAATTATAGTATATTCGCACAATGCAAATACATTTTTAAATAAAGAATATTGGTGTTCATTCATGATCAATGACACGGTGGCAATTGCAAGCCCGACAACCGAATTCCCAACGTTCGAAATCCTGACTACCATAATCCCGACAATCAAAATCCCGATTATATCAAAATCCCGACAGTGTCTTTTATTATTATAAATTTCTACAATAACATTTTTATAGTAGTCGGGATTTTGATTGTCGGGATTATGGTAGTCGGGATTTTGACATAGTCGGGATTTCAAGCGTCGGGACTTTAATACTGTCGGGATTTCAATAGGCGGTCTTTCGGTTGTCGGGCTTACGATATAGACCCTCAATGACAGTATTGAACATCTTATGACGTTTAGCTACTAAATTTTGACAGCTCACCAAATTTAAGCAAGCTGTTTATTTGTCGGTAACCGAATGAATCATAAATATACTTTGGTGTCAAAGTCTTTTCAGACCGGCTGCTTTAACGCCGATAAGGAAACATGTATATTAATCAAAAAATAATATTAACAAGTTATAGGATTTCACATTTTATCAACAATTCAAATTATCAAGAGACAATATTGAACACCTTATGTCGTCCAGCTACAAAATTTTGACAGCTTGCCAAATTTAAGCTACTTGTATCAAATAGAAATAAAATATGTAGAGACTACTTTGATTACAGTAAAAAATTTCAAATGTTAATAGTACATCCACACAATGCACATATTTTATAAATAAAGAATGTTGGTAAACATTAACGATGCTAGTAAATTATTAATGAAAGTGTTGTGATTAAAATCGAACACGTTCTGACGTTTAGCTACCAAATTTTGACAGCTATAAAAATGTAAGCAACAAGTGTCAAAGATATATTCTAGTAAAATAAAGACTATTGTTTCTGCAGCAAAACGTTTGAAGTTTTTATAGTACAGGTAAACATCTGTTTTGCGCCTGTTCGATTTACGCCAATTCACAATAACGCCGCTGCGAAATAACGCTTATTAATTGCTAATTTTACATTTATATAGAACTAAACCCTATAGTTACCTCACTGTAAATATGGGTTCATTTTACGCCGATTCGATTTGCGACGGCTTTTGTAGGAACGGAATCCCGGCGTAAAAAGACGTTTACATGAATCAACTAAGAATAGTTGGGAGCACAATTTCTTAATAAATGCAGATAGAAGACAAATATTGGTTGTCAGTCAACAGCAATTTTATTTTTCCTGTGTACGAAATTTCTTGATACAAATGAAATTATTAATGCAAATACAGACAAATTGATAGAAAACCAACTTTTAAATCAAATTTTGTATCTCTTAATAGCACAAGACAAATATTAGTTGTAAAAGACAAGTTAAATATGCGAATAAACTTATTACAATCTCTGAATTAATTATAATATATTTCTAAGAATTATAAATATATAAAATACATTTTATCTCATACTTTAAAAACGATTTTTATCTCAAAAAATTTAAGCAAATAAAACGTGGAATGGAAATTCCAAGACCAAAATAATTACAATTTGGAATTTCTGTTGTGTTTAATATTAATAAAACTGAATGCAGTGAGTTTCATTTAATTCGCTTTTTATTATATAACCGCGTGGCGGAACTAAATCGATTGCCAAATGCAAATTGATTGCTATTCTAAACCATTCTTCCTTAAATATGGTGTGACTGTTCCAACCTTCGCGTTCTGTACGTTTGCTGCTTTCCATTTTTATTAAAGCTATATTTGGTTGTTCGTTTTCTCCGCTTCTAACGTCGTCTACTAATTGAATATTTTTCTCGAACATCAACCAACATTCTACAAAATATTTATTATATTTTAGTCACAATTGAAGAAAACATTTAGGTTTTTAGTACATGGATTTATTGTTTATAATTGAGATTGCTACAATCCGTGATATTTTATTTTCAATACACAAAGAATACCGAAGATGACGATTTTGCTCCAATTTCTATTCATCAATAGTTTGTATCAGATTTGCGTTCGAACGAGTGAGTTGCCTTTGATTCCAAACGTTATTAATGACATGCTCCTTTAGTATTTAGGTTTCTGGTACGTATTTGGCGTGTTCGTCGAAGGAATCGAAAGTGCTTCTATTTTTATTTTGCGTTTTAATAAACGCGTTCCCTTTTATGGACGCAAAAGCTCCGCTCGCCTTATGTAATTACCCAGGACCAAATAAATATCTCTATATGAACGTAATTTATTACATCGCTTCGACAACAATACTTAATTAACGATGACGTTGTTTCGCTTTTACCTGAATCTTTTCAACAGGTAATTATATATGATTTTTTTGCTATCAAAAATTGTTAAGGTATGATTGATTATTTTTGCTATATTACGTAAAGATTTCTTTATAACCTCGTATTTTATAATTAACAAAATAAAGAATACATCAACTATGAACAATTTAAATTATTATGGAGACGGTAAAGGTAAATTTCCTAATTTATTTATAGTTTATATATAATAAAACGTTGAATATAGTTTTGTTGATAATTGATAAACTGGTTTTACTCAAATGAAATATATAATGTGTAATTGGATATCTAAAACTATTGTATAAAATGATGGAAAGACATGGGTCAACGACCTTTGCTCTCTCAGCAAATCCATATCTGTTATAACAATACACATTTATTAGCTGTTTTAAGGACTTGTAGTATTTACTTCAATAGCTCCACATATTTGTTTTTATAAAGAAAAGGCTACCGATGTTTCTGCCTTCTTTTGGTACACGACACAATACACGTGGACCTAGTGTAATCTCTAGTAAGTAAATACGAAGCTGTTTATTTGTCGGTAACTAAATGAATCATAAATATACTTTGGTGTTAAAGTCTTTTCAGCTGTAACGCCGATAAGGAAACATGTATATTAATCAAAAAAATAATATTAACAAAGTTATACGATTTCGCATTTTATCAACAATTCAAATTATCAGGTAAAGAAAAACACATGAAACGTACTTGTGCATAATCTTGCAAACAGATTAATTCACAATATACATTGTTATATAATGTGATTTATATGTTTATTTTATATAAAAATGAATATTATTATTAAATAATTTTGAGATTATACTTGCTTAACGACTTTAATCCGTTTCAAAATTTCCGGTTTTTTACTCGTATAGTGAAACATATTAAAAAATACACATAATATGTGTACACAAGTTTTACAAACGATGTAGCAGGCTCGCAATTCGGGACTTCTCTTCTCATCGTCAATCGTTATGCGAAACGTCGCTCGTTAAGCGAGTTATTTTTCTTACAATTAATTTTGCTCGTTAAGCGAAATTTAATTGTTTGATTTCTAAGATTATGACTGTTATTTCATATTTGACAGTTTATAAAAGCTAAGTAAGTTAATCGATTAATGTTTTCTGCTAATTTTCAAGGCCAAATAAAAAAAATACGTTCTCTGAAAATGAATTTGTTGCGGTTTCTATCCATAACTAAGATGTATTTATTGCGACCTTAAAGTTATAAATAAGAACTTGACTTGATAAATAAACGGCGAAATTGAAGAGAGAAATAGAGAGAGAGAGAGAAAAGCAACACATAATAGTCTCACAAGAAAAGATACGAGCGGAATTTGTTTTGAAATGTCCGGCGGATTCGCAATGAAATAATATTTATCAATTGTGTTCTCGTTGTATTCCGAACAATGGAGAATCGCGTATTATAAAAAAAGAAGAAAGATTCGAAAATTTCATTATTTACGTAACCAAGGATAGAGAGAGGAGCAACAGACAAAAAGACAAGAATCTGTTTCGAAACGAATTTTTCTTACGCATCCGTGATATTACTTTTCTCTCCTCCATCCCATCTGTTTCCTGTTGTAAGCTTGTTCCTCTCTCAATGCCAAGTCCTTTGAATGAATGATGGCTTTGTTCGTTGTTGTTATTCTTTTCCATCTCTGCACATACACTTTTTTTTTCTCTCCATTGCACTTCATTTCTCATTATGGATGTGCGCCTCGCGTTTCCATTTCCACATTTCGTTACACTTTTATTTCATTTTACTACCTAATGTTTATTTATTTATTTTTTTCTTCTTTTTCACGCTTCAGGTATGGCACAAGATCTGCTTCAAGTGCTTTGAATGTGGGATGAGTCTCAACATGCGGAATTATAAGGGCTTCAACAAGGCACCTTATTGCGAGGCGTAAGTATATTTGTTCGTATTTATTATATTATTAATTTAACTGTATTTTACAATTGTAAAAGTTTCAATGAGTTTGGTTTTAAATGCGGTATACCTGCTTGTATTGTATTTTTTTCTTCACATAACTTACAGGTATAGAATGCATAGCAATTTCAAAGCTTTATTGAATGTGCTATGGGGAATGACTCATGCAGGGTATTTGATATTTATTTACTAAAAAATGGTCACCTCGGATTTTTTGTTGTTGCTGGTAGTACAAGGCAAAAGGGAAACTAGTACTGTGCAGATCAGATTAACAATACGTGGGAATTTACGACAAGAATTTCCGTTGATTTTGATGCACAATGTTCCATATTAAACATGCCAGTGTGATCTACAAATATGATCCCAAGAATGACAGATAGGGGGATACGGTTACTAGGAAAACAAAGATAAAAAGCTACGTCGCGTTTGAGAAATGATAGCAGGCCATGTTCCTTCGTGAATAATTATTAATTCGGTCATTGATTCGCCTATGTTCTTATAGGATTCCATCAGTTATTACAGGAAGTAAAGAAAAATATAGAGTTACGTATAACAAAGAGGAATAAAACAGCTGTTTAACTAGTAAACATCGACCGATGGAGGAAATGAATAAAATATAAAGAAATTTGCAGGTAAATGGAATAAACGATATGACGCACGAATAAATATCTTAACGGTTTTCAAAAGGACGTGCCGGCATCTGTGCAGAAAGTTCCCTTCCAAGAATTTCCTTTCTTTTAAGACGAGGCGTCTGGAAGGCGTCTTGAATTTCATTCATTCATAAATTAACCTTTCGATAATTAAAAGTAGAACAACGCCTCAAGACAAGACTCAAAGCTTTCAGTCGCACATGACGTATTGCTTATAAATATGCACGACACGGACGTTATTTAATGCTAAAGTATACTTATCCGAGTGTCACCAATGTAAGCAAAGGTAAAAATAAGAGGATAATGTTTATAATAAATCCATCAATCTTGATATTCTAAATTTACTTTGGACTTGAGAAACTTAATCGCAAGTTTTGTCTTAAGCGAATTATAAATAATTCGTTTATCGGTGGGTAAAAATAGACTCGATGGTATTTATAGTCGAATACTTAGCTTCAATTTAGGTACTAAACGAGCACGTGATAGCGGATTGCGACACGTGCAAATTCGATTTCGAGGACCATTTCAAATGCATTCTCAGGACCTTGGAACTTGTCGAAACCGTAATTCGTTGCATTCTTCTCCGACGAATGCTCTCGTATTTATCGACGAAAGAATGTCCAAAGGAAAAGTGAGCGCACCGAGCTGTACATTTGATATTTAATAACCGTTAAAATCACAGCGAAGTGTGAATTAAAAGAGAATAAAAACATAAAGAAAGAAAAAAAGAGTATGCATGCACTGGGAACGAATTGTCTCCGCTCTATAATTAACGGCAGCCTTGCGTATCATTTTGCAATTTGATCAATCGAGGTTTTGTCTTAATTGTGTGCCATTGAAACTGGTCTAAAGGTCCCACGAGGAGGACTCGTTAGTGCAACAAACGCACAACAACAAACTGTGGCAGATCCATCAAATTGCATCATTCATATATTTATATTGTGTTAAAGTTCAACGTTCTTGCTTGAAGCCTACTTGATATTATAATTATTTCGTTCTAAATGTTGACCCATCGTTCTTCTTGTGTTACATTCGACGTGGCTACGACCTGCGAAAAAGATCTTCAAACGATAAATGAATGTCAAGAACGTTGCACGGTTACAATTCTTATAGGTGAACGGAAATTCAAATTCTTTTTTTTTGTTGTATTTATTAATAGAACGACTGCATGCTAATGACTTAAGTAGTTTTTAATCTAATATTCTCCTTAGAATGGGACAGCTGCAATGTGTACGAAATTGGTATGTGTGTATGTGTATATTTAGAAATTTCTAAGTGCTTTTAATTTTCTTGTGCATTAATTGAACAACAATTTGCATCTTTCTCAATTAAGGTTCGGTAACGCATGATTCTTGTTGCATCTGTCGGATTGATGAGAATTCTCATGTGCGTTCGCGGAATTTTGTTCTCTTTGACACACTTTTGTTGATTGCTCGAGTGTTGTTTTTTTTTTGTTAACTGGTTTCTATAGATTTTTTTAATATTTTCTTTTAAAATCTTTGATTATTACTAGCTTTTAAGAATTTCTTAGGTTCTTCTATGTCAATGTGTCATAGAGGTGTCATATGCCTATTTTCGAATTACATCTTATTTTTCGAATTACATCTATATTAATATTTCTATCATCATTGACACTTCATTCAATAAATATTTAAAAAAAAATCTTGTTGGTAACTAATTTGGCTTTAATTAATTTTCCTTCTTTTGATAATTTCTATCATATATATCAAGTACACATATATATATTTAATAATATAAATTTAATTCATATATATATATAATAACATTTGTGGACAAAGAAACATCGTCATAACAATCGACAAATTTAAGACTTGGTTGTCATAGTTGAGATGTTGAGCTTTATAAACAAGTACTGAAAATGTGACAACATTTGTCAAATTCAAGTGATATATTAAACGGTATTTTCAATAATATGATTGTTACTCATCGAGGAAGTAACGCCTAATCTGTTTGACCAAATACTTAGTACAAGTAATTGTACTTAGATAATATTCTAAAAGGAAGAATATTCATAATATTGATGCAATATTGATTATTAGCATATTGAGTTATATTCTGCCTCCACTATTTCTTGTGATGAGATAAATTTCTTACATTTAACGATGTGTTTTATAAATTCAATAAAATAATAAAAAAACTGGATGTTTGACAAGCACCTACACGATACAGAGAATCGAAAAGCTGAATTACAATTTCAAGGATAACAAGTGTTAAGAAGTACACTTTTTCATCCTAAGCTTTCACTATTTCTTTGGCATTACCCTTTTAAAGTTTACATTTTCTTCTTCATTTCATTAAACTTACATTGAAACTAATAGGAATTTGAAAAGTTCTGAAATATGATTTCTTACAATTACTGCATAAAGTTTAAATGATACTTGATAACTTATAAATTAAGTAATATTTCTTGTGGATAATACTCGAATCCTGACAGATTGTATATTATGAAACTTTGTACAGCAATACAAAATTTTCCACTATATACAAGTGTCTTCCAAACATATCCAAATATCAACAAAATTAAATGTGCAAAGTTTTATGCTCTAGCAAAATCTTATACTCAAATATTTTTTCCTATATTTTTAAATCTTTCACGGCACTACTGGAATCTTTGGCAGGAATTGCTCTATGCAGTAGCGGTTTTAAAGTCCTCGATTAGTCCGGTTTCAAGCTGTGTTGGCGGATACCATATCCGCACTATGCGAGTTATTGCTCTATATTATTAAAACGTTCATCTCGTGTAGAGTAGCTCACATATGTATATTTATGTAAGTATTATTATAAGTCTAGTCTTTTGTTGACTCATTAGATAAGTCAGGAAAGCGTGTAAACATGGCAAATAAAACAGTCTATTGCTTGTGTAGTAATGAATTGATTTTATTGGTTGATTTATTTTAACGTTTTGCTAATGGTTTGAGAATAATGATCAGTTACGATGAATATAGATACAATTATTAAAGAAGGTTGCAGAATTTGGACCAATTCAAAATTATGAAAATGAACTATTTATAGTTATAAATAATGGCTTTTACGTAGTATTTTTGTAGTGATTGTTTTCTTTTATTGATTTTTATTTTTTCTGTTTTTAGTCACATACCAAAGGCCAAAGCTACGACAATGGCGGAGACGCCGGAACTGAGACGTATCGCGGAGAACACAAAGATCCAGTCGAATGTGAAGTACCATGCGGATTTCGAAAAGAGCAAGGGGAAGTTCACGCAGGTGGCGGACGATCCGGAAATGTTGCGCATCAAGCAAAACACGAAGATCATCAGCAACGTGGCATACCATGGCGAGCTGCAGAGGAAGGCTGAGATGGAGCAAAAGAGGACGATAAACGAAAACGGTTTCAGGGAAACTCCGCTTGCCAGTGTCGTCGACCAGACGAACGCAAACGTCGTTCCTCTAATGCCGGCAGTCGCGATGCCGCAAACGGCGACAAACGTTCCAGCACCACAACAACAACAACAGCAACAACAACAACCACAGATAGGAAATCCACAGAACATCGGCAAGATCAGCGACTACGATCCGACGGTGGTGAACTCCAGTCCGTACTCTGCGTCCAGAAATAGCCAGACCTTGATCTACACCTCGGATCAAGGGGCCGTGAACAATCCACCGGCCAGGCACATAGGATCAGTGCACGACATAGACCCTGTCAACCATAATTACGGATCTCTGGGTAGGGTCTACAAGGCGATGTACGACTATGAAGCACAGGACGACGACGAGGTCAGCTTTCAGGACGGCGATCTCATCATCAACGTCAGCAGTATCGATGGTGGTTGGATGACGGGGGAGGTGCAGCGCACCGGACAAGTCGGAATGTTACCCGCCAATTACGTCCAAGTTGCACACATCTAGGAGCCAACAGCATTTCGAATTCAATATTCCTCCGATGGAACAATGGAATGAAAGCAACCATCTTTTTTATATATCTATACACTCTAAGACAGCATTTACCTTTTTTACTAAACTATGAAAATCTACTTAATCCGTACTTAGATTTACCGATGAAAGAAAAATCATTCCGAAATCATTCACGAAATCAATATCAGCGCATTCCGTTTCGCATTTACCCGAAATATCTTAATCATTTGGGTGGATGCGCTCACACAAATAGCATTTCACACTGACAAACATCATTCACGTCCAGATGAAACAAAGAAAAACTATCAAAGAGATTATTAAGATGTTCACAATTAAATATCACCATTACTAACATATTTAAATATGTCTAAATTATTATATTAATTGAGTAAATTAAGTCAATTTTATTGACGCTAATTGAGATTATTTATTCCTTGACCAAATTCAAGTCAGTGTGAATTCGCTTCGTTAATATGTTTCTATAATTATTTGACTTTTTTTTAACTACTATATATATACATATTTAATATTCTTAAAGTGGCTTCTGCAAAATGCTTGTAACTTGCCGACGAACGAAAACTGAAACTATATCGCGTTTAGTGCCTTATCAAGAAATCAAAACACAAATCAAAAGACCGTTGCCTTATTGTTGATGCTGGTTCAAAAAACAATAATTGGTGTTCTTTTGGTAATAGAATCTTAATTAAGTGATCTTTACTAGAACGTTTTTTTTTCGATAATACGATTTTATTGAATCTTTATATAATTTTTATTTTTTTTATATATACATATACTTGGGAAATAAGTGGGATATATAAAAAGAAATGATGAGAAGAGTAATACTAAAAATGTACCGTCTCTTTACGTTTCATGCAACACTAATTATTAATAATTTAGTTGCTGCAATAATTCTGTTTTTGTTTTTTTTTCTTTCTTTCTATAAAGTAAAATTTAAATACATGTGTAAATCGTGGGGTGCTAAATGATGGAATATAAATAATATACGTATTTTTTTATATCGACTTGTATTTTGTATAGATGGAATATATTTTGTACAAAGGATTATTATTATTTTTTTTTTGTTTAATTGTTTAATATACTAATTTTTTTTAAATACTATTTTATACACATCACTAACGACTTCAATTGAAACTGAAATCTAATCAAATTGTATGATGAATGAGAATCCCTTTTGTTGAATCATATTATATATATATTTATAATATTTCGAGGTAATTGAGCGTTCGAAATTTTTCTTTTCCTAGTATTATAATTATTATATTTTTTAAAATTTACTATAAGTATAAATATGCTTTAATAATGTACATTTATAGTTTATATACATATGTTAAATAAAATATATAAATTATTTAGGTGTTTTTTAAGATTTTTTTAGAGTGAAATCTTGGAATCATGGAAATAGTTTCTTCTCACAAAACACCTATGAATATATTTATTTATTATCCTTTTATTACGTATTCATTTTAATGGACGAATATTGTTAAATCAATATGTTTTATATTGTTTCTACTAGCAATTAAGTTAATCTAAGTTCCATTATTTATAAAAAAAAATAAGTCAATATATTAAACCCGAGTTTTCAAGAATTTGACTCAACAAAAATGTTGAAATAGTTTGTAGAATTTATAACATATATTTATGATACTTATGTCATAAGTTGCATTTATATATAATTGTTCGTTCTTCATTGGTGCTTTACTTGGTTCCAATTAAGTTTTATTAAAATTAATAATTAGCATTGTAATTAATGATGATACGCTACTGGTTAATTTGAAATACAAATAAATGAACAGTTGGTATTCCTGCAAAGATCACCATTTCAGCTAGATGTTTTGACAACGTCTACCAAGATCGGATTATTCCTGGTTCAGTTTAATTTCTTACTGCTTGAGATTAGTGATTAAGTTAAGATTATTTTAAAAAACAAATAATTTAAAAACAACATTTACAAATAACATTTTAAGATTTAAAGGTGAGTGTTGTTGTTGGCTTCCATTACTTGTATATAATCAAGGGTTTTGTTCCTTATCTAGATTGAATTCAAATGGAGGAATCAAATTTAAAAAGGGCAGCTAACTTTTCAGAGGAGGAAATTGATATTCTATCTAGCATTGCTGAGAAATACAGGAATCAAATTGAATGTCGAAGCAAGCGAACCAATACTAATAGGATGAAAGATATGATCTGGCATCAAATTGCTCAGAAGTTTAACAAAGTCTCATCTGATCTTTATAGAGGACCCAAAACACTTCGAATAAAATATAAAAATCTAAAGAAAAGAGCACAGGAGATTAACAGTTGTAATCAGGTTAAGATTAAGGAAGGTAATAGTTTTGTATGTTTATATGTACAAATGTTATTTAGTTAATAAGTGTTTTCAGAAACAATTGATGCTGATATGGAATCTGTTGAAAATGTTAAACAGGAAGAAGGTTAATTAAGACATTAGGATGTTTGTCACTTATTAGTATTAACTGTATTTTATTTTTAGAGATTGCTGCAATATATGAATATGAATCTATGGATGAGAATGATTCTGAAAGTAATCTAGCTCTTGGAAAAGATATGGAAATGGGTTATTACAGTGAGGATGAAAATGGTTATAAGAAGGCCATAAAATTTTCTTCAAGGGAGAAAAGATGCCTGCTTGCTTTGGTTGATAAATTCATGGATAGGATTGAATGCAAGAAATTGGATTCTGAAAGTATAAACTTGAAGAATATAGCTTGGGCTCAACTTGCCAAGGAATACAATAACATCATGACAACTGGTACAAGTAGGAGTGTTAAAGCACTCAGAATGAAATATAAAAATATCAAAAGGGAAAGAAAAATGAAGAAAGCCTTGGAACATTTTGAATCTACCAGCCAAGTTGACCAGTACCATGAAAATAGTTAGTATTTAATATTTTACTTAATGCAATCATTTAATGATCATGTTTCAGATGTTGAATTTATAATTATTGACTCCTCAACTGTAAGATCTGATGGGGAGGAAATAGCTGAAGTAGACAGAACTGCATGGGTGGATGAGAATTTGGAAGCTGTCGGTTCATCTACTAACGAAGTGATGTACGAATACGACAGCGACGATGATATATTGAACGGGACTAAATGCGAAGATGTCAGCGTAGAGAACGAATTGAAAAGAGAGAAATACGGTCTAGAAATAAGCTTATTGAGGCAGCAGTTGGAACAGGAGAAAGTCGAGAAAACGTTATTGGTTCAAAAACATGTGAAGGAAATGGAAAACTTGGATTTGCAAAACCAAAAACTGAAATTAGAGTTGGAGATATTAAAGGCGCAACAGATTAAACCAAATGTTTAAACTGACCATAAAACATTGTTTTGTTGAGTACTATAGTTTTTAAATGATTTTAATTTTTAATAGTGGCTACATCACATCAAACTAAATATGTGAATCACACAGACTGTTGTATTTTATGTATTTTTATTTATAAATTATTTATTTATTAAAGAAAATTTTATTTCTATATAATATACGAATTTAAAATTGTAGTAGTAGTTGTAAGTCACGGTATCTATTATTACTTGAAGTTTCAATAAAAATGAAGGTTGGTGACGATTTGAATCTGGGTAACAACTTCATTTTCGATATCCCGAAAGATGTTATATTTCCATCAGAGTTAAATAAATTTCTTAAAGACAAAGTAGAGGTAAATTCTATATTTTGATGTTTTAATCTTGCCTTTCTTTTCTTCAATTATTCAATGGGTATTGGTTAACGAACATAATTCGTTCAAAGATTTAAGCTCCCAAAAGTAACAGCAATTGTTCGGTGAGTTGTTCGTTATCCGAATATGTGTTTGTAATTTTTGCTATTCGATTTGTTCGCAGTTCGAACTGTTCGTTAACCGATCACCCACTGTATTCGTATTGTCAAACTCATCTGATTCGTATTTTTCATTTAATTAATAACAAAAAACTGAAAGTATTTAGTGCATGAAAATGGGAGACTGAAGAAAAATTTATGTGACTCCGAATCGGAGCTGAAGCAAAGTAAAGATCAGGTTTCTAAGTTGATCTTGAAGGTCGAGAGATTGGAATCTAGCGATAATATAGTTCCAGTTCGGAGTAAAATCGTGGAATTAAGCAGAAAGCTTCGTGATAAAAGCTCTGAATTTGAAGCGCTGCGATCAAAATGCGCCAAATTCGAACAGGAATTGGTGAAAGTCGAGCAAGACAATAAGAAGCAAATTTTCGTTGAAAAGACTGGTATCAAATATAATATTAATATTATTATAAAAGATACTTATTTGTAATTTTCAGTTGAGCCAAGTAAGCCAATAAATGACTTAATTTCCGAACTGAAAACTGCACAAGAAAAATTGAACAATTCCAATTCGAAATTGTTCGAAGAGAAGAACGCCAATTTAAAGCTGAAGCACGAATTGAAGCTTGCGAATAAATTGCTGCAAGAAGAAATTGGCGATGGTTTTGAGAGCGTTCAGCAGATTACAAACAATGTAGGTTGGAAAGGTAGAGCTCAAATAGTAATGGATTTGCAGAAGAAGTGCAACGATTTGAGGGAAAAACTCAAAAGCAACCAAGATAAAGGTAACAGTAGTTATGTTATAAAAATAAGTAAGAAATGCATCTTTGCAATTGTTTAAGATTGCGCCAAGAGTGCGGACAGTGCGAATCAGAAAAAAACTTTATTGGAGAATCGCTTGGATAAATTGTCCAAAGACCACGGCGCCTTGCTTCAAGAAACCGGTGAATTAAAACGAAAGTTAGAGCTTGCAAGGAGTCGGTATAAGAGTTTAGAAACGGAATGCACCATCTGGAAGACCAAATTTAATTCTACTTCGGAGCAGATCGAACGTGATCGAGAATTGATTACTAATTTATCTGTAACATATTAACCTCTCTGTTTGTGATGTTTTTTTTTATTTGGTATTTTGAAGGCCCAGAATGCCATCAGCCAAAGTAATCAATCTGAGCTACTGAAAAAGAAAGATTTATATGTGGATAAGGTTCAGATTGAAATGAAGGAATTGAAGCGGGAATTGAAGAAGGAAAGGTGCAAAGTTGAGAATTTGGAGAGGGATTTGAACGATAGGGAAACGAAAGTTCGAAACGCGTCTCCGGTGCATGCAAACACAGTTATAATTTTATAAACATTAATTATTGAGATTCTAAATAAGTTGATTTTAGAACGATCCGAGAGTTTTAAATCGATTGGAGGCGGAGAGAATGAGATTGTTAGAGTTGACTAACGTTTCCAGCAAACGATTGAACGAAGAACGCGATGCTAGAAGCAACTTGGAGAATTTGTATCGCAGGGAACGACAGAGAGCGGCCAAACTGGAGGCGAAAATTGCTAGATTACAATTGGAGGATGATAGATGCAGCTATGCTTCAAAGTATTCCAACTTGTCGGAGAACGCTTTGCAGTGCAAACTGGAATTGGCCGAAGAACAGGTTAAAGCTCTGCAGACGAAATTAGAAATTGAGAAGAGGGAACGAGATTTTGATTTGCAGGAGTTCACGAGGATTTTGAAAGGATGCGAATATCAATGAAAACTATTACCATATCCTGTTTAATATAAAACCTTTATCAAATGAAATATATTTAACCAAAATACGTTACTTTTGTAGAGTAATTTAAGTCTCTTGGAAATAATTATGTTGATTATATAATTGTTAATACTATTCTTTTCAGAAATTTTCTGCAAGATTTACAGATCTTTATAATGACGAAATCTGGAAAAGGTAACAACTAAAAATAAAGTTCAGCAATCTTTATACGGCGAAAGTCATAATCAAAGTTTGACTTGTGGCATTCAATTTTTGATTTCAGCTAGTAATCATCCAAAGATTGGTTTATCACCAATAGAAACATTGAAGAACTGATTTACAGCAGAGTCAGATACAATTTAAAACTACTATATATTAATATTTTGGTTTGACAAAGATTTAAGTATTTCAATTTTTAAAAATGTTTATACTTGCCTAAAATTGATAAATATGGACAGGAAACATTTATTTATGTCTGAAAACATAAATTTGCTCTATGCATTTACTGAATATATTCTAATCAAGTTTAAAGAAACACAAAAAATATGTATAAATAAATAATTGTGCAAAAAATGAATCGAAATTTCGAAATTTTGTACCTAATATTTCAGTGCAAGTTTTATATTTTACATGGACGAAAGTGCTCCTCTTAATAAATCAAATACATTTTAGATATTTTTTATTACTTGTTAGTTATATTCGTCCTCGCTGTAATCGTTTATAGTTTTTTTTTAAATAAATTTGAATATAAAATAATACAACATGAAGGAAGCATGTGTAAACTTAGTGCTCGTTTCAACATTTCTTTTATATTTGGGATTAGTTAATGCCGAGTTGTGCATTTCTTTCAAATGCAACCCGAAATCCGAGCAGAATGTGACTCTAGCGGGACTTTTTATGTTGTGTCCTAATGAGAAAGTCGAAGTCCCTTGTACTCCGTAAGTTAAAAGCTATCCATAATTCCACAAAAATTATCAGTTTTGATACTCCTAGATGCGTGGATTGCTCAAAACTCTATCAATGTGATGCCAAGATACGCGATGTTGTTTATATAGATGAATTGAAGCTGTTTTGTCTCGATGGTTTCAATTGCAACAGGGAGTACACAATGCCATGCGATTCGTAAGATTGATCAATCTTCACAATTCTTAATAAAATTGCGTAATCGTGTATTCTTGCAGATGTGTAAGGAAGCGATGCAAGAACCCGCGTAAATTTAAATGCGTGAGTGATAAGCACGTTTTTGTGGATGATATATTAGTAACATGTAAATCGGGATTCGCATGCAATCGTGACTATTTACATCCGTGTTATCCGTAAGTTAAATTATTAATGCTTAATCATAATAACTTAATTAATATTTTCAGATGCATCGGAGATACAGATTTTTCGTTTTCCAAAATTGTTCGCTTCAAATAGACACAGAAAAATAGAGTTTATATATAATTAATGGTTTGTTATTTATCAGAAATAGAAATAAATTCAACTGCAAAATACAAAAACTGTTGTAAATTTAATGAAAACGTTATTTTATTTAAACACACACTCAACCAGTGTTTCTCAACGCATCGCAAAATTGGATCTCGTTGATATTTTCTAAAGTGTCGTAAAATGACAGCTGTCACCTTGTGTTAACGAGAGGAACTGATAAAATACACTTACAATTGGGTCGCTGTACAACGTCAAACAAATATGTTGGGTCAAGCAGCAAGAAAAGTTGAGAAAAACTGCTTTCAACAACACAACAATTATTATTTTACATTTTGCAGTGGAGACAAAACTCACAATTAATAAAAGTAAAACAGAAAAGAATGAAAGCAATATTAATGGAAGTAAATTTGTAAAAATAAAAAAATGGAAATTTTGTTACTAATATTAATTCAATGATAAAACATGCAATTTCGGTGAAAGTGATCCTCTTGATCAAACATGTTTTTACATCTTTTTTTTATTACCTTGTTAATCGTATTCGTCCTCGCTGTAATCCCTGGACGATATAAAAGTGTTCAGTTTTTAACAATTTAATATATTAAGCAACGCAACATGAAGCAAATAATTCAAAGTTAGAAACAAATTCATTAAATTAACAAAAAACAGTTACAAATTCTTTCTTTCAGTATTTATTTTATATTTGGGAGTAGCCCATGGAATTGCGACATGTGATAACTTTGAATGCATCCCGGGTTTCGAGCAACGAGTAAACCTATCTGGAAATGTTCTGATGTGTCCTGATGATCAGATATGCAACATAAATCCAAAGACTTGTACTCCGTAAGTTGAAGAAACGATCAGTAAATTTTAGAAAATAGTTATAATGATTCTTCTAGATGCGTCGACTGTTTTGAAATTTATAAATGTGATCCCACAGACAGTGAAATTGTTATATTAAATGACAATAAAATGTTTTGCCTCGATGGATTGACATGTAACAAAGAATACGTATTGCCGTGCCATCCGTAAGATCATCTTACATAATCATATCTTGTTAACCGTTGTTTAATCGAGCATTCTTGTAGATGTATTAAGAAGCAATGCGAGCAGCCGCAGAATTTTGTATGCATCAGTGATAACGAAGTCATTGTTGATAATGTATTGTTAACATGTCAATCAGGATTCGTGTGTAACCGAGATTATCAATATCCATGTTTGCCGTAAGTTAAATGATTTACTGTTAAAAACCAATTTATTTATTTTTTCTGTTTTCAGATGCATCGAAGAAGGTATATTGAAATTTTCCAAAATATATAATTATAAGTAATTATCCTTTTGTTTTTTTTTTACCAAAAATAGATATAAATTTAACTACAACTACTTCACCAGGTAAATCAATATTTTTTTAAAATAATTAATTGTAAATAATTGTATTATTGTTTTTATAGAAACAGTTCCAACAACTGTAACTACTACAACACGTTTACCAGGTAGGATTTAACATTTCAATTTCTGCAGTATAAGAAAAAGATATTTTTGTATTATTTTTAATGTTTTTTTTTTCATAGAAATATCAACGACGATAAATCCTGAAAGTACGTATAAAGTAAATGATTTATAGCAAGTTTAAATCAAATTTGTTATTTTTAGGTATAATCTGCGATAAATATAGTGAAACATGCATATATGCTGGTCCAAATGAATATTATAGATGTCTTCCAGTTTGGTGGTGGTACAATAAAGTACGTTTCGATTGCGCAGATTTACCAAAAGACGAGTACTGTTTCGACGCAAAAAATGTTTGCGTTTAAATAGAAAATGTTGTATAAAATAATTATATGCCATGCAATTAATTACGTAATTAAATATTTATTATTATTGCACATTCATTTCACCATGCAATAAAAAGCTATCTTACTTTATGATGTTTTATAGATCAACGTTTCTCAACCTCTTTGCCGCAAAACTTAATATAGTTCTTTGTAGTTGTACTACGATACAATTGCTAAGAGTATTGTACCAGATCCTGGTTTTGACACAAGGTGACAGCTGTCATTTCGTGACGCAATGAAAATTTTGCACGACCAAATTTGGGTTGCGTCCCATAAGTTGAGAAACGCTTCTGTAGATTATTTATCCTAATAAATTAAATAATACATTTTTTGCTCTAATTATATTAGATAAATGTAATTTAAAAAGAACTGATGTTATCAACTTATATAAATGTTGAAATTTGCATCTAAATTTCACAGATTCTAAAATGAAAGCTATAATTGTACGTGGTTCGTAGCAAGTTCAATTTTTTCTTTGTTTATTTTATATTAATATCAATAGTTTTAGTGTCTCTGATTTTGGTTTTATTCACTGCAACTGCGCTTTTAATTGATTGCAATCAATTTGTATGCGTTTCTCACAATAAGCAATTGGTTACTTTATTGATTGTCGACTTGCAATACGAATGTGTTAATGGTTTAGTTTGCAACACAAATAATTCAACTGAAATTTGTGAGCCGTAAGTATTTTTTTGTAAGTAAATAATACGGTTTGGTTATGATTGTTATGTTTTAGGTGTATTACAGAAGGTGATTTATAATATACATATATTAGTAAAGTAATAATTTTATTTCTTTCTTTTTAGCACCTCCACTGCCTCGTAAGTTAATATTATAAGATAATTATATTTTGTATATTTTACATATTTTCAGTATTTTTATTTAAATAAATTATTTATGTGTGTTTAAGCTCCTGACTGTAACGATGGTAATGGCACATTAATTACCTGCAGGTATAACAATGCAACTCCTGAAATATATTACAGATGCAAGCGTGTTTGGTATTGGTATGAACATGAGACTTTTCTATGCTCTGATTTATTAGGTGATTTGACATGCAGGAACACTACAGTATGTAACTAGTAGTAATACAAGTAATTATTGTTTTTTCTTAAAATGTGTAATGTAAATTGCGATTATATCTTTTCAAATGATTAATATCCTTTTATTATTTAGATTGTATAATTTAATTAATCAAAATTGTTTTGCTTCTTTAAAATCGCATGAAAATTAAAAACATATTTAAACCATCATAAAACATAAAACAAAAAAATGAATGATATTTCTACATACCCCATAAGTGTTTGCAATTAATACAACTAAATAAAACATTGCATAATATAATCATAAATTAGTATAAATTATTGTTTAATAAATTTTATAAAATTGAACATAATAAAACAATAATTTATAAATAAAAATGTATTTATTTTCAATGTATATAAAATCTATAATGGTATAGTACTAATTACTTATTTTTTTTTTTCAGTACCAAAATCTATTAACTATGTAATTTTCTTCCTCACAGGTCATAAAAACTTTTTCAAAGAAAATAAAGTTACGCTTTCTATATTTCATCTATTTTCTGTTTTTCCTTTACATAATTTAGATTTTTTTGTATTTTCATTCTTTTGTATACAATTATTATGACTATATGCGTGAATTACTATTATGGTTTAAATAGTCCTTGATTTCTAGAATGAATAATACATTTTATGATGACTTCGGTTTAGGAATAATTCGATTTAGAAATAATTCGATTTTGTAATTTTAGAGACAAACTAGTCTTATAGATCAGTGCTCCCCAGCCTTTTTATCGCCGCAGGCCGGTCAATGTTTGATAATTTTACCGCGGTCCGATGAGGGGGGAGACGTGCCATAACAACAGTTTGTTTCTTTACAACGAGATGGTTCCATCTGGGGGTTTTATGTAGAGGAGAGGAAACCTTTCATGGTCATGGTACTGTGGGATTCTTACCGCACTAAAACCTCTCCCCTTCTTCGATGCTGATTGTCATTGCCTCTCTGGCACTTCCCCTAATAATGCTGGCCTCCACTGCCACTATCCTCGTAGGCCATCTGCAGCCTCCGCTCGTCTTCTTCCTTGCTTAGCAGCACCTCTGTTATGTACGCCGCTACAATATTCCAGCTGTCCACACTCCTCAGCATTTCACCGATAATATTTTCTGGCTATAGCAGAACTCCCAATTCTGTTGTGCATCAACCTGCTTACAGCTGTAGTTGTTTCTGCTGCTTGGATGGCTACTGCCCTGATATGCTCGGCGTTGGTCAGGCTACTGTCAATGGAGACCCCCAGGTATTTAATAACTTTCTTCGGTATTATTTCTGTGCCTGATATTGTAAATTTTATAGGTTTTGCTTTCGTCCTTCCGATCAGTAATACCGCTTCTGTTTTTTCTGGCGCAAGTGTCAGACCTCTCTCTGACATCCAGTTTTGTATGTTGCATGTGGCCTTGTTTGCCTTTTCAGTCAGTTCCTCTTCTGTCTTTGCTACCACCACTACTGCCAGGTCATCCGCATATCCTATGACTGTTATGTCTGCAGGTTGATTGATCCTTAGCACTCCGTCGTAAGACAGGTTCCATAGGGGCCTAGCACTGATCCCTGCGGAACTCCGATATTTATTAGCATTTGTTCTTCGCCTTCGGTGCTCGGGATCTTTATGGAGCGCTCGCTGAGGTAGCTTCTTATAATTCTTTTAATGTAGGGGGTAATTCCTCACTTGTTTACCTCATCCATGATGGTCTTCCATGCGACTGTATTGAAAGCGTTTCTGACGTCCAGCGTCAGTAGTGCGCAGAGCTTTCTCTTGATCTTGGTGCCTGTTCTTGCTTTCTTAGCTATGTTAACCACTGCTTTTATTGCGTCGATAGTAGACCTTCCCTCTCGAAAACCATATTGTCTATCTGATAATCCTCAACATCTATCGATTTCCTCCTTCAGTCGCTTTGTTAGTAACTGTTCGTACAGCTTTCCCATTGTGTCAGTGAGGCACAATTTTGTAGCCATCGCCCCATATGTTTACATTCACATCTTCGCATAATTTTTGCCAGCACTCTCTCTGCCTTTGCTTGATAGCCACTTTTAGTTTACTCCTTTCTGCTTTGAGGTTTTCTTTTTCTTCTGTGCAGTCTCCCCCACGCGTTCTTCGCCGCTGCCTCTGATATCTTCGTCTCGCGTTTTGGCATGTTTACTTTTTGTAAGCTAGGGTCGTCTTTGTAGGATAGCAAAAATGATGATGATTTAAATAGGGTACTGATTTCAAGTCTATACTATGAAGACTATAAAACAAAATTTCGTTGACCGTAAATAAGTTTCTTTTTTTAAATTAAGACTGTGATGTAGAAAATCTGATTCTAATTTCTTAACGACCTCAACAATGTTATATTGACCAATGTTCATTAGAACAGGCGACCCCTGTCTACTTTAACTTAAAATGCTTTTAATAATATAAGATATTGAATAAGATATTGAAGGTATTAAATTTTATTGAGTAATAGATCAAATGTAATAGTAAATAATAGTATGTTATGCTTTTACAAATAGTTTATTATTGCAGGTTCATTTCGCCTCTTAAAGCTATTATAATTTATGATGTTTTGAAGATAGATTAGCTTAATAACTGAAATAATAAATATTTTCATTAACTTAAATAAATAAATCTAATCTTTCAAAAGAAATACTGTTATCAACCTGTATAAGTGTTACATTTCTACGTATATTATTCAGTTTAGCTAAAATGAAGGTCATAATTGTACATGGTTTGTAGCAAGTTCATATTTTTTGTTTCTATTATATTAATACCAATAGTTTTAGTATCTTTAATTTTGATTTTCTTTACTGCAACTGCGCTTTTGATCAATTGTAATCAATTTATATGCGTTTCTTATAATAAGCAATTAGTTACTTTGGTAGATATTGACTTTCAATTTGAATGTAGCAATGGTTTAGTTTGCAACACAAATAACTCAACCTTACCATGTGAACCGTAAGTATTATTTTATAAGTATATAAAAAGATTTGGTAATTATTGTCATGTTTTAGGTGTATCATAGAAGGTAATTTATAATATACTTATAATGGTAAAGTAATAATTATTTTTGTTTCTTTTCAGTACCTCCACCAGCTCGTAAGTTGATATTACATGATAATTAATTATTCTTTGCATATTTTTAGTTTCTTAATAAATTATACGTGAATTTTTAAGCTAACTGTAATGATGGAAATGGCAGTACTAATCGCTGCAGATTGGACCCTTTGAATGATAAAATATATCATAGATGCAAGCGTGTTTGGAATTGGTTTGAACATGAGACTTTCTTGTGCTCTGATTTACAAGGTGATTTGATATGCAGGAACACTACAGTATGTGGATAATTAATCAAAATTATTTTGTTCTTTAAAATTGAATGAATATTAAAAACATATTTAAACAAACATAATAATATAAAACAAGAATATATAAACTGTTAAAAAATGCTATTGGGGGTTTTCCGTCATAAAATTGAATGTTAAATAATTTGTTAATATGCTTTTTCTATGTACTTCTTAAGTGTTTGCAATTAATACAACTATATAAAACAGTCCATAATATAATCATTAATTAGTATAAATTATTACCTTCTACTTACGTCATTAAAACTCCTTTATAGAGATAAAGTGAAGTCACACTTTCTATATTTTATCTATTTGTTGTTTTTCCTTTACATATTTTTGTATTTTCATTCTTTTTGTATTCATTCATTCTTAATGAATTACTATTATGGTTTATATAGTCCTGTATTTCTAGAATGGATTATACATTTTACATTCATTCTTATGGGAAAAATTATTTAGGTTTACGAAGAGCATTTAGAAACGGTTCATTTTAACAAAAGAGCTTCACCTGTAATTTTAGAGACAAACTAGTCTTATAGATGATTGTTTTTATGAGAAATTGTGACTTCCAACCACTCTTTGTAAGCGAAATGAAGATGATTCAAATCTCTACTGATCTCTAGACTACTCTGAAAAATTATTTGACCGTCAACCGCATTAAAACTTTATTTTGTATTAACTTAATAAAATAATTTACCGAGCTTAAATAATCCTTTTATTTTAGTGTTTTCTTTAAAAAATCTGATACTTATTTTCTATCATCCTCGAGAATGTTATACTGACCAAGGTTTATTTTGGCAACCCTTGTTATACAATATATTATTCTTTAACTTAAATTTACTAATCTAAGATTATTTGAATTGAATATAGTGGATGGACTTACTTTATTTAGAAAAAATGCTATGCTTTTGCAAATACTTTATTATTGCACGTTCATTTTGCCTTTTATATATTAGAATGCAACAAAGCTGTTATAATTTATGATGTTTTGAAGATAGATTAGCTTAATAAATTAAATAATAAATATTTTCACTAATTTAAATAGATAAATCTAATCTTTCAAAAGAAATACTGTTATCAAACTGTGTAAGTGTTAAATATCTACGTATATTATTCAGTTTAGCTAAAATGAAGGTCATAATTGTACATGGTTCGTAGCAAGTTCATATTGTTTGTTTCTATTATATTAATACTAATAATTTCAGTATCTTTAATTTTGATTTTATTTACTGCAACTGCGCTTTTAATAAACTGCAATGAATTTATATGCGTTTCTCACAATAAGCAATTGGTTACTTTAGTAGATATCGACTTTCAATTTGAATGTAGCAATGGTTTAGTTTGCAACACAAATAGTTCAACCCTACCCTGTGAACCGTAAGTATTATTTTATAAGTATATAATACGGTTTGGTAATTATTGTCATGTTTTAGGTGTATCATAGAAGGTGATTTATAATATACTTATAATGGTAAATTAATAATTATTTTTGTTTCTTTTAAGTAGTTCCACCAGAACGTAAGTTAATATTATAATTAATTATTTCTTGCACATTTTCAGTTTTTTTTTAATAAAATATTCATGTGTGTTTAAGCTATTGACTGTAACGATGGCAAAAACGTTGTCTGCAGGTACAACATTGCAACTCCTGACATATATCACAGATGCAAGCGTGTTTGGAATTGGTTTGAACCTGAGACTTTTCCGTGCTCTGATAAACAAGGTGATTTGATTTGCAGGAATACTGATGTATGTACTCAGCAGTAATGCAAGTAAAAATGTTGTTTTCTTCAATTTTGTAATGTAATTATAATTTAATCATCAAGTGTTTGTAGCTTGTCAAGTGTTATTCTCAATTCTCGAATATAGATCCAAAATAAAAAAACGATTAATTTCTGATGAATTCCGTTTTCTCAATCTTACACCTTTTTACCGTATCCCACTTATTTGAATTAAGTTCCTTCATATAGATAAAGGAAGTTATATTTTGTTTATTTTTTTATCTATATATATTTTGATTTATACATTTATCATTTAATGTACAATATTTTAATTGTTTTTCTTTCTTAGACGCCAAGCGAGTAATAAGCAAATTAAGTTAATAATTTTATATGAATAAATATAAAATTATTGACTTATCTTATTACTCGCGTGGCGTCTGAGAAACTATGTATAACGTTAGTAATTAATTTATATAAATATATAATTGATTAGATTGAAAAAATAAAAAATATTTGTAAGAGTCCAATAAACAGTTCCAATTCTGCTTTCTCTACTATTTTGTCGTTTTTTGCTATACTCTTTACATTATTTTAATAAAATATTATAAAACCAGTACCCGCGTGGCGTCTGATAGTCTCTTCTAAGAATGTTTTGTTGTTAAAAACCCCATTAAGATTAACAGACAATAATTGTAAAGAGCTTTTCTCTAATGTTATCAATTAAAATTTTGATCGAATGTTATCTAACAAAATGCAATAAAGTTATAGTAATTTAATTTATAATTAGGATTATTAATTAGGATCATATTAAATAGATAAATCTAATCTTTAAAAAGAAATACTGTTATCAACTAAAATGAAGGTCATAATTGTGCAAGTTTATATTATTTATATCTAATAATCTAAGATGAGCAGAATATTAAGGGGTTACTGCTGGTTTCTGGAGAGGGCTTTACCAACGAGGCCTTCAAGAACTGACAGAACAAGGATTTGAAGAACGCGATCTGAAGACGATGAACCAAAAGAACTAGCTATAGATTTTCTTAGAAAAAGTTTAGAAACAATAACTATAACTATTAAAAGCACTTATCTTATAACGCTATTTCGCTTAGCGCTCTGTTTTCAGGAACGTATCAAAGTATACTGTATATAAAATAACGTTTTTTCATGTTTTGACGTTAGGTAACAGTTGTCAATTTTCAAACAATCAAAAAATTAAAATTTTGAGAAAGTCTCTTTTATGATGTAATGCGCTTATTTGATATTATATATGAGTAATCATGTATATCAGCGTTTTTCAAACTGCCTCTCAGTTTGAGAAACGCAGATCAATTCAAGATTATTGTTACAATCTTAAAAATGCTATTAATTATTAATGATAGGAATTCGAGTTAGTCCGATTTGAAATTCTGAAAATAAACTTAAAATTTTAATTATTATTATTCAGTCAAATCACTTTTTGAGATACTTCTTTAGTTCCTAGATTATTTCGGTTTGAAACTGTCAACTGTGCAAAATATATTGTATTACTATTGTGGATTGGCAATAGAAATAACATGAGTTTAAAGAATTTCATATACTTAGATTGAACTTATTTTTAATTTAATGTTTGAAAATAAATAACGAAATTTAAAAAAAACTATAAACAACTTGTTTATACAAGCACTTTATTAGCCAATAACAAATATTTTATATGCAGCAAAACAATATAAGACTTCAATGTTATCATAATTGCAAAAAATGTTTTTATGTGCGTTCTGTTATACAATAAGATTTGCACGTAATTTCGAGAATCTTATTTAAATAGCTCGCACTTTCAAATTTATGTAAATATTAGCACGTGTACACGTGAACATGTTTCAAATAACATGTAAGTAAATAAAATCGTTTAATAATACTAATAACATTTTTTTTATATATTTTCTTTTCAGTATTTTCATTTCTGATAATGATTTCTTCCACAATTAAAAGTCAATCAATTTTTAACAGCCCAGATTGTATAAAAATCAAATGTATCTCAAATAAACCGAATTCCATAATAATTGGAAAGTCTTTATTAAGTTGCCCTAATGATAAAATATGTAATATAAATGCCTCAACTACTTGCGACAAAACGTAAATGTAACTACAAATATTAATAGGAATCATATTTACGATATTCCTTTTAGATGCGTTCCAAGGATTTGCAAAACTATTGTCGAATGTATAGACAATTCGCCATCATTTTATTTACAGGATAATAAAGATCTCCGTAAGTGCTCGGATAATAAGATTTGTAATAAAAAATACAATTCGACGTGTGAGTTTCCGTACGTTTCTCTTTATTTTATTTTTATTTTATATTACAGATTATTCACTTTTTTTAGATGTGTCGATGACGACAAAACTACTACTACCACTACAACTAAGGCAACAACAACAATAACAACAACGACACAGAAAGCACCATCTAATTGTGAGCAAAATAATATTTTTTTTTTCACTTAATTTATGTTTGATTTTGTAGCGATAAATTGTAATTATCGAGCGGAGGAAGAGCCTTGCAGGAAGAGCAAAGATTCCATGTTTTACTACAAATGCCTGAAAATTGTTTGGTTTTACGTACCTAAAATCCATTTGTGTTCAACGATTAATAATGATTATACATGCAGGAATACCGGTGTTTGCAAATAATTTTTTTTACGTAATTAGAATTAGTATGTTGAATTAATTTTATAAATTAATAATAAATTCATAATATTCTACAAAGAAATAGTAATAGTTGAATAGTAATGCAATATTTGGAAAGACTTTGTCACTCATAATTGTTGTGAATAAAGATGTTTAATAATAAAATAAAAGATCAACTGTTAAGGGACTATTACCATAGGTTTTTCCACCTCTTTCCTTATAATAATTTTAAAAACCTATGTTTAATTTAGGAAAATTTAATATAACTTTTTATTAACTTATGTAAGGTGTTCAGATTTTAATTTTCTGGCATTTCTTATATTTACTATATATTAGGTTTTTAAAGGAAATTTTATGTAATTCGAAATCTGGTTATTTTCAACAAAAAAACGACTTGAAAATCTCATTTTATTCTTTGAAGTTTGTCTTTTAATATCCACATTCAATATATATTAGATGTATTAGTTTTTAAGTAATTAACGTGAATGAAACTAAAAAATAGTTTAAAAAAGCAAATTTATTATACTAAGAAAAAATACAATTATGTAAACTTTGGAAAATTAATGAACAATATCAAATATGATTATATGATTTTGAGAGAACAGATGTGCCGCGAAAATTTGAAAACATAATTATTTCATTAATTTTCATATGAAGATAAAAACATGTTTAGATGTTAAGTGTGCCCCAGACGTTAAATTATATGTTCAAGTGTATCTTGGCACATAAAATGTTAAAATGTCTGGTCTAAATAATATAATTCAAATGGAAAGTTTCAGTTGTCAGTAAATAATAAAGCTTTGCAGAAAATTACAGAAGTTATAATGAATATGTACAAAATATTATAATTATGTAGGGTGTCCCAATAAGAGTGCTGGATTTAGTTTTTAAATTATTTTAAAAGTGATATTAATGCAATTCTATACATAATTTGTTTGTTGTATGGTTAATTCTTGTTATGTTATTTTTTTTTAATGAATGCTATATAGGAGTATATAGAACTATAAGGACTATAATTGTATAGAATTGTATCTTAAATTTTTGTAATTAATTTGGAATTTGGATTTGGAAATTCCACCAAACTGCAAAGTTTAGTTTAGTTTTGTCAACCTTAAACAAATGGCGTTAAATTTTGGCCTTTTATTAAGTATAAAGTGAGCAAATTTGATCAATGTAGCAACTAAAACCTTTATAATAAGAATGTTATTTGTTATATCAATTTACGTTATTTTTCGAGCTTGCGGCAGAGAAGATATGTTAAGCTCGAGTCGCATCTTTGAATGCATTATATTTGTTTATCGATTACGCACTGTATTTTTAATATGCACAAATGAAGATAGTAAAAAACATTGAAGAAAATTAAGATGAATGAATGAAAAGTGAAGAAAATATTATAGAACACAATTTGAGAAGCGGAATAAATACTTATGGGATGCTGTTGAACGGAAACCGCGCTGTATGAGTACCGCGTTATAGGAGGGCTGTCGCAATTTCAGCTCTGCGTTATATGGAAACCACGTTCTGAGAGTACCGCGTTATAGGAGAGTTGACTGTATATTAAAATCAATTTAGTTTAATTGTAATAAATGCATATAAAATTAAATATATTATATAATATTATTATTGTTTCTATTTACAAAATAATCCATTTAATAATATGCCTAGATAGATCTCAATGTAAATAGAGTCAATATATTCATGTAACTTTTATGTATATTAATTAACGTACAAGTTTTACGCATTGAGATTAATGTATAAAGAGAATTGTGACGAACGATTTACATTTGAAATAACTTTAGTTTTTTTATAGTTTTTATGACGTAATTTCGTTATCGAAGTGTACGTATAAAAAGTTGAAAAAAAGCTAATAATTTTCAATCCCATTTTAGTACACCAAAGAAAATGGTTCAAAGTAATACTGATTCCATAAGAAACAAAACAAAAAAAAAGATTTAATTCAATTATCTTTTCAGATTTAGCATTTTTCTTTTTAATTTGGTATTCCGGTAAAATTTTAATTCATGCAGCAGTAAATTCCACATGTCCAATTATTAAGTGCTTCGATGAATATCCAAAGAAAGTACTTTCTGAAGGCAGTTTAATGGAGTGTGGACCGAATCAAATTTGCAACAAAAATGTATCTGGAAGTTGTGGTAAACCGTAGGTATTCAAATAATTATTGTATTAAGAACTAAAGTATTCATTTATTTTTAGTTGTATCTTTGAAAAAGTCTGTGATGTTGAAATGATAATTCCTAATAATGATCCTAAGCGTTGTTTGGTAGCTGGAAATCTCATGTCGTGTCCTGAAGGTCAAATTTGTAATAAAGATTACAATGCTACGTGTGTCATGTAAATTTTAATATTTTATTAATTATAGTTGTTATATTTTGATTGCGGTGCTTTAGGTGTGTCGAGGATAAGAATTTTAAACCTGAAGAAAATAACAACAACAGCAACAACAACAATGGTAACTCCAATGGCATAGATTGTAAGAAATGAAGAAGGTTGTTAATGTTTTATATTAATTTATTATTTTTAGCAACAAATTGTAACTTGAATGCAGACACTACTCCTTGCAGGAAGAGCAAGAATGCAAATTTTTATTATAAATGCGAGCGTAGTTTTTGGTTTTTCGTGGCTAAAATCCATTCATGTTCAAATATTCAAAATGATTCTACTTGTAAGAATAAAGGTGTATGCAAGTAGCAGGAAAAATTCAAATGTATATGTATATTGTTTCAAAATATTTAATAAAATACATATACTCTACTAATTAATATGATTTATAACTAAACCTACCAAATTTTTTTGTATATATATTCTAACCATGCAAAATCCATATTTGTTTAAAGTTTATGAAAAGTTTTTGAAATAAACATTCAACTGACATGCAAAGTACAATAACATTTAGAAATATGATTCTAAAGTTGATTGTTTGATTTTTTTTCATTTTACACTAATCGCTTAAAAATAACATTTCTTCTTAAATCGGGTTAATTTTTACACAAATAAAAGTTCAGCACCTTTTAAATTTGTGGCAAGAACTTCTTTAATTTTGCCTTCATTTTCTTTGTCTTTGCCATTAACGATATTTTCTAAATCTTCTACTGAAAAACCATCATCTACTGCATTTAATGAATTTCTAACATCATTTTCATTGACATTGTTGAAACATATGTATATCTTTCTAATTTTTTGGATGTTATATTCTTCACAAAGTATAACTTGTGGCCATTTTTTCTGCCAAATTGTTTTAAAGAACTTTTTACTAACTTCTTTCTAAGAACTATCAATATTTACGGACAATTTTGGACTTTATTATAAGGAAACTAAGTTAACCGAGGTATGATATTTTTTTCGTTTCAAATTCTTTATAAATTCACAATGTTAGTAAATTAAAAAGGTTGCAAGGTTTCCCAAACTTTTCCTGCAAGTAAACACTTCGTAAATCTTGAAATGTTCGAGGAACTCTTTGTTTTTTTTTTTTAAATTTTACTTTATTTAAAAAATTGAGAAAAATATATTAATTATTTATTTGATAATTATTTAATCCCAGGTTTTCACGGAATATGTATTAACATAGTTTGGGAAATCCTGTTTTATTCAAAGAACAACAAAAAAATAATTTCAATAATAATTTAGTAAAATTTATAAATGCAAATACTTTTTCTCTTGAGAAATCTCAATGTCAAAATATATCCAATTGATAAATTGTCGTCTTCGTCCCAATCTATCAAAAAAATTGCATTTAAAATTGCAAAAAAAATAATTCAAAATAGTTTCTCTTATTGACTGTTGCTAAAAGTTTTATTTCACAAAGTTTTAATGTATTATCAAAATTAATCCACTTTTTCTCTTAAATCACCAATTTATATTTCGATATTAAACATAATATTAATACAGAAATAAAATATGTCAATTAATCGAAAAGATTCAACAAATTTGATAACTAAAAACAAAATTGTTACATAGAGTTACATAGAGTCTCTGTAATAAAATAATTTACTGAATTTGAAATATATTGAAGAAAACATGTACAAAAGAATATAGATTAATGTGAACATTTACGTTTCCTTTACTTTTGTTTGAATTTTTTTCAACATTTAATAAATTTATGAAGGTTTCTTTTGAATTTATCACCTCGTTAAATGCACTTTGTTTTTGTAGAAATAGTATAAATTTAATCCATATTCTATTGTAAAAAAACAAAAAAACGCTATTAATTTTAGTATTATCTACCGCATTGATAAGTAAAGTAATGTTTCAACCGTGCGTTAGCATAAATGAAATTAGAGCTATTAAATAGGTTGTTTCAATAAAAAAAATAGTTGAATTCTTTAATCCTCAATGAAGACAACAACTTTTATTATTTCGACGATTATTTTATGTAAATGAAATGGCAAAATTATTTAATTGTAAGTATTTAATATGAAATAATTATAATACGGTGATAATCATTTTTTTTCAGTAATTTTATTATCAATATTTATTCTATATTCAATGTATGTTGATGCAAAAGATTGCGTCAAAACGAATTTTACGTGTGGTAGTGATGAATATAAAGTAAAGTTAAAATCAGGATCGGAAATGCCTTGTGGCAACGGAACAGTTTGTAATAAAGATTATGAATCGCCATGTATGCCGTGAGTTATAAATTAATGAAAGTTAACAAGAAATTTAAATAATACTTAATATTATAGATGTGTACCATGCAAGAAATCAATAAAGTATGAATGCGTACCTGATGATAAAAATAAGATAAAACTTGTTGATTTAGGTTTCAAAGTTGATTGTAGTGATGGGAAAATTTGTAATGCTGACATTGATTATTGTAGACCGTGAGTTAAATAATAAATGTTTAATTAATTTAATAGCTCTTACTATGATTATGTTTAGTTGTATCGATGATTCTACTACAACGGAATTTTGGACTACTACCCAAGCTTCGACGATTAAGGAATGTGATAAAAATGTATTTCAATGTTTTGATGACGATCCAAGAAAAGTTAAGATTAATGGTTTTGATGTAAAATGCGATGATCAAATGCAATGTAACAAGGAATACTTAGAGCCATGCAAACCGTAAGTTGAAGTTACGGCTTTTTCAATATTTATTGATTGATTTATTTTAGTTGTATCTCCATGGAGACGACAACTGAATTATCTACTACTGAGCTTACAACAACAATATTGACAACTGAATTATCAACTACAGAAGTGACAAGTGAAGCATCAACTACTTCATTATCAAAAGAGACAACAATTCAATTGTCCACAACAGAAGTCATAGTACCCTCAACTACAGAAGTTACAAGTGAAGTATCGACTGCTTCAGTAACTACTGATTCATCAACATCAGAAACAACAATTCAACTGTCAACCACAGAAGTCACAGTACCGTCAACTTCAGAAACTACAAGTGACATATCAACAACTGTTTCCTCAACTACAGAAATTACAACAAAAATTACAGTACCATCTACTACATTATTAACAACTGACTTATCAACCACAGAAACATCAACAGAAGCTACAGTACCGTCGACAGTAGTTACAACAGACTCATCGACTACAGAAAATATGATATCATCTACTACAAAAGATTTAGTATCGTCACCTACAGAAGTTACATCTGTCTCATCAACTACAGAAGTTACAACTGACTCATCAACTACAGAAGATATAGTATCATCTACTACAAAAGATACATCTGACTCATCAACAACAGAAGTTACAACTGACTCATTAACTACAGTAGTTATAACAGACTCATCAACTACAGAACATATAATATCATCTACTACAGAAGGTGTTGTAATGTCAAGTATAGTAGCTTCAACAGACTCATCAACTACAGAAGTTATATCTGACACATCAACTACAGAAGATGTAGTAAAGTCGACTACGGAAGATGTTGTATCTTCCACTACAGCAGTTACAACAGACTCATCTACTGCAGAAGATGTGGAATCCTCGACTACAGAAGTTACATCTGACACATCAACTACAGAAAATATAATATCATCTACTACAGAAGTTACATCTGAGTTATCAACAACAGAAGTTACAACTGACACTACAACTACAGAAGATGTTATATCGTCGACTACAGCAGTTACAACAGACTCATCAACTACAGAAGATATAATATCATCTACTACAGAAGTTACAAGTGACTTATCAACAACAGATGTTACAACTGACTCAGCAATAACAGAAGATATGGTATCATCTTCTACAGAAGATTTTATATCGTCGACTACAGTAATTACAACAGACTCATCAACTACAGAAAATATAATATCATCCACTACAGAAGACGTTGCATCGTCAACTATAGTAGTTACAACAGACGCATCAACTACAGAATATATAATATCATCTACTACAGAAGATGTATTATCGTCGTCTACAAAAGTTACATCAGACATATCAACTACAGAAGATTTAGTATCGTCGACTACAGTAGTTACAACATACTCATCAACTACAGAAGATGTTCCACCTTCGACTACAGCAGTTACAACAGACTCATCTACACCAGAAGATGTGGTATCGTCGACTACAGAAGTTACATCTGATACATCAACTACAGAAAATATAATATCATCTACTACAGAAGTTACAATAGACTCTTCAACTACAGAAGATATAATATCATCTACTACAGAAGACTTATCAACAACAGAAGTTACAACTGACTCATCAACCACAGAAGATATAGTATCATCTACTACAGATGATATAGACTCGTCAACTACAGAAGTTACAACTGATTTATCAACCATAGAATTATCAACTGAACAATCAAGTACACAATTTATCACTAATATATCTACTGAATTTACAACTGAAATGTTAATAACTTCAACAGTAAAATCTTGTGACGAAAATGTATTTATATGCTTTGATGATGATTTAAAAAAAGTAGGTATTTTAGGTTTTGATATGTACTGTTCAGATAACGAAATATGTAACAAAAATTATCAAGATCCATGTAAACCGTAAGTATTTATTCCAATCAATGATTTTGATACAATTTGAACCAATAAGATGATTCGTTTAACAATAGTAACAATAATTAAGTTCAATAATATTTTAGTTGCATTTCTTCAGTCGACTTCTCAACAACCGAATTATTTACATCAACTACCATGGAAACGACAACTATGATCAACCAATGCAAGAAGATTTTTACCTGTCCAGATGATCCGGTAAAAGTCAAAATTGGTCAGTTTGAGTTTAGCTGTAAACCCAATGAAATATGTAATAAGAATTACGTGGAACCTTGCGATCCGTGAGTTGAACTATATCAAAAATCAATTTAGTTTTTAATTATTTATTGAATAACAGATGCATTTTAAACAATGATTCTACATCTACTGAACTTTCCACTACTACAGATGTGTCAACAACAGAAAAACAATGCAACAAAGAGAAATATACCTGCGTTTTAAATGATCCTACGACAGTGAAAGTTGGAGAATTCGAGTTCTCGTGCTCGAGTAGTAAAATTTGCAATTATAACTACGAGGAGCCTTGCGATGCGTAAGCGAATTATAAATAATTTTATTTATCTTTTGAATTGTTTATAATTTGATTTTCAGTTGTATCGATTACGTGAGCACAACAACTGAAACTGTTACTACTAGTTGTCCTAAGAATTATGAGTGCGTTGTTGGAGAACCACGAAAGATTAAGGTGGGAAGCTTCGAACTGTCTTGCGAAGCTGGTAAAATATGTAATTCCGATTACCAGGAGCCGTGCCAACCGTATGTACATAAATGTTTTAAAGTAATCGTATTGAAGATATTGTTTCAGTTGTATTATTTCCAATGAGATAACGACAATTAGTACTCCAGATGTATGCACTTTGGAATTCGAATGCTTTCCCGATGACCCAACAAAGATTAAAGTTGGCGAATTCGAATTTTCCTGTCTTGATGAGAAAATCTGTAATAATGATACTACCGTAATTTGCGAAAGGTATAGTACTACAATATAAATTATATATATATATTTGTAAAATATTTTGGCTTCAGTTGCATTTTGTCTACTACTACAATTACCACAGTTACTACTCCCATGGGTTGCATTAAGCAATTTGAATGTGTTTCTGGAGATCCAACAAAGATTAAAATTGGTGAATTTGAGCTTTCATGTTTTGAAGGAAAAATATGTAATGATGGTATAAGTGAATCATGTGAACCGTAAGTCGTTAATACACTTAATATCAAGATGATAATAATATATTTGCCATAGTTGTATTATTTCAACAACTACCTCCATTCCGTCATCCACTACAACACCAAGTAGTTGCATAAAGAAATTTGAGTGTGTACCAGGAGACCCAACAAAGATTAAAATTGGTGATGCTGAGCTGTCTTGTTCTGAAGGAGAAATATGTAACGATGGTATAAGTGAATCTTGTGAACCGTAAGTCTTTAATACACTTAATACCAAGATGATAATAATATCTTTGCCACAGCTGTATTATTTCAAATGGGACAACTACCTTCATTCCGTCATCTACTACAACACCGAGTGGTTGCATAAAGAAATTTGAGTGTGTACCAGGAGACCCAACAAAAATTATAATTGGCGACGCTGAGCTGTCTTGTTCTGAAGGAGAAATATGTAACAATGGTATAAGTGAATCTTGCGAACCGTAAGTCTCTAATATACTTAATACCAAGACGATAATGATATTTTTATTATAGATGTATTATTTCAAATGAGACAACTACCTTAAAACCGACATTTACTACTCCAAGTGGTTGCATGAAGAAATTTGAATGTGTACCAGAAGACCCAACAAAGGTTATAATCGGTGATGTTGAGCTGTCCTGTTCTGATGGAGAAATATGTAACATGGATACAAGCAAAATATGTGAAACGTATGGTTTACCCTATATTTTTCTACAAGATAATTATTTTTTTTTCAGTTGCATTAAAGATGATAGTACTTCTATTCTTACTACACCGATGACAACTGAAATCATGACCACTGCTGATGTCTGCCGTGAACAGTTTAAATGTTTATCCAATGATCTGAGTACAGTTCTAATTGGGAACGATTTGGTTGAATGTGAAATTGGCCAAGTTTGTAATATCAATTACGAATTTCCGTGCGAACCGTAAGTTATTAATATTATCCAAATCCATATAATATTGGTATTTTTTCTATAGATGTATTGCTTCTAAAAATATAAGTTTACAATATATTTTTAATTTTACGACATATTTTTTTGGTTGTAGATGTATAGAATCTGATGATAATATTCCATCGAGTTGCAGTAAGGACAAATTTCAATGTATAGATAATGAACCTGGTCAAGTCATAGTTAATGGTGGATTAATTGAATGTGGTGCAAATACTATATGTAATAAAAATTACGTAGATCCATGCAGTCCGTAAGTAATTTTACAATATATTTTTTAATTTACAATACATTTTTTTTGGTTGTAGATGTATAAAATCTGATGAAAATCTGATGAATCTGAGTTGTAGTGTAGACAAGTTTGAATGTGTAGACAATGATCCTGGCAAAGTCATAGTTAATGGTGGAATAATTGAATGTGGTACAAATACTATATGTAATAAAAATTACGTAGATCCATGCAGTCCGTAAGTAATTTTACAATACATGTTTAATTTTAGAATACAATTTTTTGTTGTAGATGTATTGAGTCAGATGAAAATATTCCATCGAGTTGTAGTAAAGACAAGTTTGAATGTGTGGACAATGATCCTGGTAAAGTCATAGTTAATGGTGGAATAATTGAATGTGGTACAAATACCATATGTAATAAACATTACGTAGATCCTTGCAGTCCGTAAGTAATTTTAGAGTTTCACTATTCGTTTTGTTACAATTGGTTTGTTTAATTTTAGGTGTGTTACAAATTATGAGATGTCTCTTGATGTACCTAATAACAGTAGTAAGACTAATTAAATCTTGATTGATTTTTATTTTAATCGAATTAATTTTAAGTTATCAACTGTAATGATGGTAATTCTGAGCAGTGTAGGAAGAACTTGAAGGACCCGGACTATTACTATGTATGCGTACGGTATTTACTCTTCTACAAAACAGATATTCGACGATGTTCTGACATACTTGAAGACCCAATTTGCAAAACGACTGACGTTTGCAGAAAATAATTCCAAGAGTGAATTTGTAATTTCTTATTTTCCTCCATTTGGATACATTTAGTCTTTAAAATTTAAGTAGTAGTATTTGAGAATTATAATGGTTTAGAATTAATAAACATTGAGTATTTTATTGTTTTATTTGAAATGAGTATTGTGTTAATAGTGTGTGAAATTCGCACTTTTATAGACTATTATATGGTTGTGTATTTGAGAAGGTTCTCTTGGATACGCACAGAAACGTGCAAAATGTATGATTTCGTAAGCCGTGAAAAACTTTTATCCAGTAAGTTATTTAATAAAATATACTTTTGTTGTTGTCGTAAACATTGATTTGTTTTTTAGTTGCTTTCATTATCCTGCAATCATTGACTGTTGTACTAAGTAAATGCGAAACATGTAACTGTCCATTCCATTGTAACTCATTGGAAGAAGTAAAATACGATAATCAAGATATACCTTTAAAGTGCAATAATGGTACCATTTGTAATATAGATTGTATTTACCCGTACTCTATGTGAGTCAATATGATTAATTCGTCTTTGAAAATATTATGAGCAATATTCTAGTTGTATCCCAGTTGCAACAGCGAAATGCGATGAAAGTAAGTTTCAATGTGTGCCTGAGAATCCCAAGAAAGTAAGGTTTATGGGAAATGAAGTTGAATGCGCTGGACAGAGCATTTGCAACAAGAACTATATTGGCACATGTGAAATGTAAGTTATGAAATGATACTTTTGTAGGATTATAAATTTTATGTTTAAGGTGCATACTATATAATGAAGATGAAGAGAAAAAGAATTGTATGAAAATGTATCATTGCGATAAAATGGATGCAAGAAAAATTGTCATTAATAATCAGACAATTTTGTGTGGAAACGGTAGTATTTGCAATAACCTATATACATTGCCTTGTAAACCTTGTGTTCTTAGCAATTGAATGATGTCAAATTGATGTTGAATTATTTATGTTAAGTTATTATAATTATTTGTACTTTATGAAATATTGCTTCGAATAGCACGGCTTCAATGATTCAGTAATGATTCGCTGTAACAAGGTTTGAAAACTTAATAACAAACTAAATTTTAATGCAGCAAATTCAAATTAATTTAGTGTAAAATATATATATTTTTTTTAATAAATAATCTGTGTTTTTTTCTCTAGAAAGTCAAGTCTTTTTTTTGTACAGTTTTAAAATCCTTGTTTTCAAACATATTTTCAATTACCTATATGTACAGTGCTGTTTATTTACAATCTATATAAAATAGATTATTTTTTAATTTTTTCTTAGTTAAATTTTAACGTCATTATTCTTAAATATTTCCTCAAATCATGTTATAAAGTATTTGCTCAGATTCTTTTAATTAATGTTAATATTACAATGAAATTATTAAATATTGACTTAAATAATTAGTTTCTATAGTTAATTATCAATGATTAATAACTTGAAAGTGTTGAAAGTCGAGATAGAAAATATTATGCAATTCCATGCAAGAAATAAATTATTTGGTAGGCAAAAACGTAAATAAAATATTTTGAATATTGCTGAGTATTCATAATAGAACACTTTTTGATAACATTTAAACCAGTGGTTCCCAAATTTATTTGGCCTACCGCCCCTTTCTAAAAAAAAAATATTACGCAGCGCCCCATGGAAATTACTTGTTTTTTTAAATTTTAATATCAATTAAACAGAAAGATATATGTATTAAATGCAAATGTAGCATCACCGCCCCCAGGTTTGCTGCAGCGCCCACCAGGGAACAGTAACGCCCACTTTGGGAATCATTGATCTAAATCAATGACTGAAACAACAGTAATTACTTTTTTTATGCTTCGAAAACAAATGTGCTATTATATTGTTTTTTTGTGTGTGTATAACTTACAAATAATTTAAGACGTATTTTATTTTATCTACTTTTTTTTATTGAAATATTTGTTGCACATTTCTATAATATTTCTATGCAAAGGTATTAAATATGTATAAAACTTAATTTAAACAGCTTTTTATAATTTAATGTTTTTTTTAATTAGTGTATTTCAAATAACTTAAAACGTGCATTTGTTGTAAATTTACGTGATAACAACTATATAAGGAGTGAACGTTTATGTATTTAAGAAATTCTGTAAAATCTCTCTCTCTATCCAAGATGAACTGCTCAAATTTATGTTAGTAAACACAAAATAGAAGATGTTTATATAATTACTTTTTGTTTTTTTTTTTAGTTATGTTTGTATTTACTTTAATACTAACTATCTTTTCAACTCACGCCTCAGAATGCAATGATTTTAAATGCGATCCAAAATATCCAACAAAAGGTGTTTACAATCAGCATGGAATCAAACATGATTTCGAATGCATTGGAGGTGATATATGTAACAAAAAATGTCTAGCACCTTATTATTTGTAAGTATCATATATTAGATCTATAATAAATAAATGTTATATGTATAAATGATTTTTTTTCTAGATGTGTCAGCAAAGATAGGTAGATGATCAACTTCTATCAGTTAGTATTATGTTTATTTTTATATTATAACTAAAGATAAAATATAATTTCTTACGTACTTATTTACAGATATTTGTTCGAAGGTGCAGGAAACAATACAAAATGAAAATGATTATAGCATAATATACATATAGAAAATGCAAAAACCGTTTCTCTTTATTTTTCCTCTTTATATTTATTACGTATCTGAGTAATTGAAGTTTAAATGTTTTTAGCAATTTATAATAATTTCGAAGTTTATATTTATATTGGTGGAGAAAATAAATAATCAAAATATACATTGTTTTGTTTATTGACTAAAAACAATTATAAACGAAATAACAATACGAATAATGAATAATTTTGATTATTTTTTGAGCATATTTTAGCAGTCTCAGTTGTTCATAATAGAATTTTTTATAACATCTAAATCAAGGACTCAAAGAACAGTAATTACTTTTTTTTTTTTGTGTCCCGGGATTAAGAAATCTCTAGTTATAGTTAGTTATAGTAGTTATGTCGTTGTGGAGTATTAGATATTAAATGAAATATATCTAATTAGTTGTATTGTATATATCAGTGTTTTTATTAAGAAGTCAACTATATATCTGTTGACCTCATGGATTATTAACTAAAAAATACATTCTCTTCTTAAGTTAATAATTAGGAAGACAGTGTTGTTCAACCCCTCCTGTTCCATCTCTCCAATCTTGTGAATACAACGTGCTTTGGTAGAAATAAAACAAGATTAGAACGGGCAAACTGAAAATATTACGAATGATTCTGAATTCATTCTTTTTATGCTCCCCTCATCCACAGAAAAATGGCTAAGTAATTGTACCAACACAAAGGAAAACAATAAACACTAAAGGAAACACAATAAAAGTGTCAGAATTTGCCGTATCCTATTTAACTCCCTGACTCCCCATCCAGTTTTGAGCTTGTGTTACAAATGTTTTTTTATCTAAGTTTTATGATTCAACCCAATATTTAGGGGCAGAAGAGGGTTGTTGAGTATTGATAAGAATGGTCACAACTATACGATTTAATGTGTAACCGTTTTTCGGAATATTCCACAAGTTATTCTAAATAATCACAAACAAGTATCCGTTTGCATATTTGATGGATACGTGAAATATGATTTATAATAATTAAGAGGAAAGTGCTAGACCTAACAAATATACATGTTAATTATACAATAGGTGATAATAGAATGGTCGGCTACGAAACTGCTTCGGAAACAAAATCTGGAGAGTAAGTTTTTTATGCAATCAAAACTTTCCTGATAATCAGATATAACATGAACAGACACGTCTCGAAAGTATATGCAACTTTCAAACTATTTAATGCCTCCCCGTTTCATTAAAATTTAATGATAAAGATTAAAGTTATTAGTAATACAATATGTAAAGCATTGGTTAAATTTGAATATGCTGTTACAGCTTACTGTAACAGGTCTTAACCTCGTTTAGCGCTGCCTTGAGTAACGCTGATTGGAAACTTACCCTGATTCAAATTATCGCATTTAATTGATTTGTATATAATACGATTACGAAAAGACGCTATGCGAAAAGATGAAGACTATGAACCAAAAGAACTTGCTACAGATTTAATTAGAAAAACCTGACCTCCTATAACGCTGTTTCGTTTATCGCTCTATCTTCAAGAACGCGTCTAACGCTAAACGAGGTTTGACTGTATATATATTTTTTATTGCACTTGAATGAGTATAATGTTATTATTATTTAAATTTACATTTAGATAACAAAATCTGATCTGCAAAGGTATTAAATATGTACATAAAATATAATTTCAATAGCTTTTTTTTTAAATTTAATAAACTTTTTAGTTATTGTATTTAAAATAACATAAAACGTACATTTCTGGTAACTTGCATGATAACAACTATATAAGGTGTGAACGTTTATATATTCAAGCAATTCTGTAAAGTCCCTCTGTACAAGATGAACTGCTCAAATTTATGTTAGTAAACAAAAAATAGAAGATGTTTATATAATTACTTTTTGTTTTTTCTCAGTTATGTTTGTATTTACTTTAATACTAACTATATTTTCAACTTTCGCCTCAGAATGCAATGATTTTAAATGCAATCCGAAACATCCAACGAAAGGTGTTTACGATCAGGAAGGAATCAAACATCCTTTCGATTGCGTTGGAGGTTATATTTGTAACATAAAATGTATAAAACCTTATTATTTGTAAGTATCGTGCAGATTTCTAATGAATTAATAAATAATTGTATGAATATAAATGATATTTTTTTCTAGATGTGTCAGCAAGGATAGTTAGATGAGCAATTGCTATCAGTTAGTATTTTGTTTATTTATATATTATAATATTTGCTTTACAAAAATGTTGTATAAAGATTTTTACTTATAACAAAAAATAAAATATAATTTCTTACATATTTATTTACAGATCGAAGCTACAGGAAACAATACAAAATGAAAATGATTACAACATAAAATAAATATTGAAAATGCAAAAACTGTTTTTATTTATTTGTCCTATTTATATTTAGTGCATATCTAAGTCATTGAAGTTTAAATGTTTTTATTATTATACAAT